TCCATAAATAGGGTATTGAGCGTAGGGTGGGAAAGGGAGGGCATGGGTAGGTTGGGGTTAAAACCAAAATCATAGATAGGGAGGGGAGGGAGTCTGATGGCGCTACAAATTGTGATTTGAAGGAAAGTCAGGTGGAACAAGCGAAGGATACGAGAGAGGATAAGATGACTAAAAAGCCTTTAGTTGTGATACGGTGTCGATATAGAATTCATGGTTGAGAATTCTTGTTGTTCAAAATTAACCTATAACTACCCCCCTCCTGCCTGTTGGTATGATTGCCATGCTGTGAGTATCACTAACAGCCCTGTCCTAATCATGTCTCTGATTGAAGGGAAATTTGGTAAAAATGGGCAAAATATGTAAATCAACAATGTCCATCATGGCAGCATAATTGGTAGATTATATACCTGATTTAGGGCCACTGGACACTGGTCAGGAGCTTGTACTCTAGCTAGACATGCTATTTCCTCAGGGATAAAGAAAACTAGGCACTGGTCAGGAGCTTGTACTCTAGCTAGACATGATGCTTACTGTGGGATAAAGAAAAGGGGACACTTATTAAAAACTAGGTTGATAAAAAGAAAACTGGACAGTCACAGTCACTTTTTCAGAACTAGGATGAGAAAAGAAAACTAGGCACTGGTCATTCATTTGGATTTAAGTTGATTAAAGAAAACTTGAGACTAGGCACTCTTTCAGAGTAACCCAGGATGAGAAACTGGGCATTGGTCACTTAGTGGGAGCTTAGCATGATAAAACTGCACGTTGCTTGGTACTTGAAACAGCTTGCTCTGAGTGAATCAGAAGGAGATAATCGGAAGTACTAAACAGAATTGCAGATCTGTGTTGAATCACATGACACCAGAGCAGATTGAGATCAAGTGTACTTGACTTTAGTAATGATATATTATTTCCTGTGCATTCGTTTGGCATTTTCAGTTGTGTTTATTTTACATTATGACATTTTTATGGTTCAAAATGCCCTGCACTCCATCGGCAACTGACATACAGCTCTGTTAGATTTGAAAAACAAATTTACAATCGGGGATATTTTTATGAAGAAAAATTGCAATATGAATGGTTTTGAAAGTTACGTAATATTATATGTCTATAAATAACTAGTTCTGAGAGGCAGTAAGAATGTACAAAAAAGTTGCATTTAGTTCAGAGGTTGAAATGACTTCTTGAAATCCTTGTGGTTTAGTTTTAAGTGTCAGTAATTGTGACTGATCGTTGACCTATGTTTTTGCCATCAATTTTGTTTGCAGCGTATATTTGTAAGCTGCATTGTTTCAGATTATAAGTCTTGATCTGCTATTCATTTCTGATTTGTTTGTTTCTATTTGCTTTTAAATCTCTCCTTATTAGATTATAAACATCTTGTGAAAAAAAAAGTTAAATGGAAAATGTCAAGGAAAAAAGCATAGAGAAGGGAGATAAGTCAAACAGGAAGAACTTTAGCACTTAAGTAGAAAGTCACAGATACAACTGTTAAAAAGTAAATTTTATGTTGCACTATTTCAAAAAATTCATGTACAAAAAAAAAACAGGTTATGTATGGTTCTGTAAAAGGGTTTGCTGAAGGTTATATTTCACATCTCAATGGCAGAAATTTTTTGGAGATAAAATTTTATGGTTTTATTTTTGGGTAACTAAGATAGGATTTATGGGATTTTATCAATCGAGCACTAAAGAAAGTTTGGAGAATACAATATATCAAAAAAAAAAAAAACAAACAAACAAACAATATTCTAAGAATGTCTCAGTGTTGATACATTTTTCCTGACATAATGCAACCAGCTGTCCTTGTCCAACTTTTGGTTCTCCAGGGAGTCTGTGTGTCAAATTGCAATTGACATGGGGCAGCTGGTCATCTCATGCTGGCCTTGAGATCTAAATCCTGTCATAATTGGATAGTTAGCTTGGTACTACAGACCGAAACAAATGTCTTATAGGTGCAGGCTAAATGTTTGGCATTGTGTTAAGTTCTTGGACAGAAACAAATGTCTGAATGGGTATGAGACTTAACTCAGGACATATGTATGATGGCTAAAGGTAGCACAGCCAATGTTTATCAACATGAAGAGATAATTTATTGACAAATAATTGTCAATTTTGTTTTATTGTTAAAATGTCTGTACATTTAGATGAATTTTTTTATTTATTAATCTATTTTTTCATTTGTTTTAGAAATTATGGCCTTCAAATATTCTATTATTTGCAGAAAAAATAGAAACAGGTTCTATATAAAAATCAGTTTTATATTTCAGAAACATTTCTGTTAACATTAATCAAATTTGTTTGTTAATAACCCCTTGTGGGCCCATATTAACTCAATCAGATTCAGTTGTCTCCCTTTGTCCTTGTGATTTTAGCCTGATGATTAATATGTATTACCATATATGGAAATCTTAAATAAATGGATGAAAACCCTGCATCAACAGCTTCTTGATAGATCTGGCTGGAAATATGTCCGGATTCTAAATCTCACAGTATTATTGATATTAGATTAAACAGGTAACCAAAATATCTGTTTATAGACTACCTATTTATTAAAAAATGTTTTAAGAAGATTTTCAAAGAAATATTTTTGAAGTTTAGAGAGAAAAAAAACCAGAAGAAAAAGCTAACAGTACATTAAGTTGATTTAGCCACAAGCAGAATGCTTCATTAACAAGGTAATGAGATAATGTTTCATCTAACAGCCATTTAGTATGGTCTAGAAATCATTATACTTCCATAAGGCCATCTATTCTCTTCACTAGGTTGTTTAATGGTTTCAAGATTGAATTCTGCCAGAAATTCTATAGGGACAGTTTTTTACTCTGAAATGGTATTTTCATTTTAATGAAAAATCTCAGAAAGGTATTTCTGTTTATCGAAACTTTTGATACTTTTTCCATTCTATGTGTGTTTTTGTTTCCAAATCATTAGTATTCTCACATTTGAATTGAAAAATGCCAAAACCATGTGTTTATGTATTAATGATAAGACCATGCCTGGTAATAAGCCAGCCTATATATGTTGCTGTTCAGTAGAATTACAAATGTTATGCTATTTCATTGTCCTGTAGTAAGATCAGTCCTTGTCATTATTAGGTTGTTATCTCCCCTTATCTTATTAAAAAATGAATATGATGTTGATTTACCTTTGAAAAATCTTGCAGAAATCTCATAATATTGATTAATAAAACATTTTTTGGCTATAAAGGTGAATTTTTTTTTTTTTTTTAATTTTCTTTTGAAATTCAGCTGATTTGCCTTTGAGACATATATCTTCATTCAATATTTGTTCATTGATGTTGATAACTTACATACTTCCTGATGATGAAAAAAAGTTTTTGCTCCAGAGATCAATAATTTTGATATTTCCTTTTAAAAAATCCTGCCAAGTGACAAATTTTGTTCATATATTTCCTTGTCAGATATCATTATATTTCACATAGATTCCATTTCATTAAAACCACAAAATATTGTTTTTTATTATTATTATCATAATGATATATATCATGTCAGGTAATGATACCTGCCATGTCCTGTAGTGAAATATTGATTGTAACAACGAGTAACAGTGACATCGCCCTTGTCGGCAATCAGCTGCGACATCCGACAATGTTGTAAACGATGTGATGTTTCCGTGCAGAATCTGTCTCTGTTTCATTTCAAAAAGTTATAATTACGTTTGTTATCTCTAGATATTTGCCAGACATGTATGTATCACATGGAACACAAGGGGGAAAGTCAAAATTTCAAAAAATTGAAATTATTGAATTATCAATAAATAGTATAATATCAGTAGATAGAGCTTGAAAGAACATCGGAAATATTCTCTGATAATCCACTCGTCATTAACTGATCAAATAATAAGGTGCATGTTGTGTGCTGAGTAATATCAGGTTGTAAATGATAGATTTGTAGAATGTTGTGTGCTGAGTATTATCAGGTTGTAAATGATAGATTGTTTAACTGTTGTGTTAGTAATATTAGGTTAAAATGAAACAAAAACTGGATGACATTTTCTCACCATATATTCTGGTAAAGTTGATTTTAGATATAATTTTTTAAATGCAATATAAGATTTTTCCAGATTTGATTTGATTACAGAACTTTGGAATATTTTTTTTTTAATTTTTCCAAACCTGACAGAGCTTTAAAACATTCTTATACAGAAAGTGTTTTATCACTTTGATCTTCAGAGAATATCACAAGTTCCTGGTATTAAAACAAGTTACTTCTGACACATACTCATTAGTGTTGTTACCTGTGTACTGTTCGTGTTAGGTTCTCCACACACCTGTAACACTTCAGTGGGAGTTTGTCACTGCTGTTCTAGCATTTATTCTCATGTGAGTGAGTGATATATCTCTTAAAATAAAACACTCAAAATGGTCGCTCTTACTTTTAGCTTTAACACAACTCCTGTAAATAATAATTACTTAGAAATCCATTTATTTTCAGAAACATAATTAAAGTCATAATTTTACACTTATTCTTATTTCATTTAATTTAAGACCTGAGATTATCTAAACACCCACTTTTAATTGAACTAATTATAAGGAAATCTTATTGAGGAAGTCATTATCCTTAATACCCAGTGGAATGGTATCTAATTATTATCTTGTTGTCATGGAGACATTAAAAACACTAAAACTTGTTTCTTGATAATTGTCCTTCAAGAATATACAAGTGTTTTTATAGTCAAACCTGTATTAAAAGCCACCTGTGTATGAAGACCACCTTTGTAAAAAGACCACCTGTATATAAAGCCGGCCTGTTTATAAAGGCTACCTGTCTATAAAGGTCATTTATACAATTCACTAAATCAACTACTTTATAAATGTTCCCTGTCTATTACGGTTCTGGTTTTGGTCCTGATGACATACAATCATAATAATAAAATTTATATATAAAGGTCAAAGGTCACCTAATCATTATAAATTTTACAATATCTGTGTTTCTCTTCCCATTTTTGATTGATCAATGTTTTACTGTATTTTTTAGGTATACCATTATTGCCAATGGCTCCCTACTGATCACGGGTGTACAACATTCACGTACAGCCCCACGGGTCTCAGACAAGGGGATTTACCAGTGTGTGGCATCCGTGGACAATGTTGGTCAAATTGTCAGTCGTAAAGCACAACTAGATATTGCACGTGAGTTATTTTTCTTCGTTTTGAGACAAAAATGCTCTCTTGTTCAAGGAAAATTTTAGTGTGTTGCATATTGTCCTTGAAATTTGTATGGATTTTTCAATAAAAAATTTACATGATATTTGAATATTTATAACATTATCAAAATTTTGTGTTAATATCTAAAATTATTTACTGCCTTCTAATATTGGTTGCTCTTTTTTTTCAGATTTATCAAAAACATTCGACATTCAACCCCATGATATGACTTTATATTTACGGGATGTAGCAATGTTCCGATGTGAAATAGATGGGGCGCCGCCCCCTAATATTACGTGGTATAAGGATGGAAATCCACTTCAAGATAGAAATAACATTAGAATATTTAATGATGGTGTTTTAGAGATTAATCCTGTAGAATTTGGAGATTTTGGATCATATCATTGTTTCGCTGAAAGTTTAGATAAAGTGAAAGCAAGGTCAAGTGAAACAGCAAGATTACGACAGATTGCTGATATAGGTAAGACAACACCTTTATTTTTCATGTTTTTGAAATTGTTTCTTTAATCCGTCTTTATTTTCAAGTCAAATATTCAAATTTTTAGTTCTTAACTGATGTTTCTGTACTTGGGAATTTAGGTTGGGATGGGACTTAAAATTTACAGTCGCACAATTTAGGGCAATCTGCAAATTGCAATTTCCCTATACAATAACTGTATATATTTTAAAGTTTTAAATATAGAGTTGTTGCCCTTTGTTATGTTTCATTATATCATTCTTTTCCAGATTATGTATAGAGTTTCATAACTGAAACGAGGTCATTTGTCTCGCTAGTCAAATGCAAAGTTAATATCTTTTGTTTATCATTTCAAATACAATATATTTTTTATTAAAGATTACTTGAAGGAATATAACACCCTCCCAACCCCCTCAAAAAATTATTTTATTCCAATTTTTTCTTTGTAGATAAAATAAATAAGGGAATTGAGCCGTCATTTGTGATGCGGCCACAAAACACTTGGGCTGAAGTTGGAACTACTGTTGTCCTCTTTTGTGGTGCAAATGGCCAAGCAAAAGAGGGGAGACAACCCACTATATCATGGCTGAAGAACGGTATCACCATAGATTTTACGTAAGTTTGAAAAAGGAGTTACGTTAGCAAGGGGTACTGTCTAATGGTTTGTGGATGTTTGGATGGTTGGCAGATGTTTGGCAGGTTAGAGGGACATTTTGGTGGTTGGAGTACGCTTGGGAGGTTTGAGGATGTTTGGATGGTTTGAGGATGTTTGGGAGGTTGATGATGTTTGGATGGTATGGAGTAACCTTATATGTTTTAAAGTATGATATTAGGAAAAAAAAAACAGCACTGCAATCTGTAGCAAATCAATAAGTAAGTAAATCTAATGTGTCATCTCCAGCCATTTTAGATTTTATTGTCAATTCCATTGTGACAATGTGTCTTTTCAATGTGTAGATGTCTCCATCAGTAAAATAGAAATTGATGGGAAAATGTTATTTTTAACAAGATATTGAAACACAAAATGACATTTAATCAAGGGAAGTGTAGTTTCTAATGACAGGAAGACCCTCATGTTTTTGGAATTATTGTTTTTCAAAATTTTTATCATAAACAATATCTCACCACCACTGTTTGTCAGTTATATGAACATAATGTTTTGTGTCAGGATGAATATTTATGAAATCAGTTTGTGGAAATAATTTTGTAGATTTAGCTACATATGTTTAAAATTGTTCAGGGAATGGAAGAATTCATTTTCTGTTTCTAAAAATTGAAAGTTTTAAATTTAGAAATTGTTAATTTTTCAATTTTCTGTAAGTGTAGATTATTGAAGGATTGATTTTTCTGTGTATAGATATTGATTTTCGTTACTTTAACATGGAGTCACTTAATGTCCTTGTTGGTGGGAAACAGATTCCCTATTCGGGCATCATTTACTAAATGTAAAATTGAAAGTTCAAATTGCAATAAATTAAATTTGTAGATTCAGAAATGGAAATTTGAGTTCTGAAATAAGAATATTTTAGGAGTAAATTAAATCTATGGGTTATTAAACGATGTTACTTGTAGTGTGGGTTACAGAGAAAAGAACATTACAAATGGCTGTTTACATCCAACTGTTTACTGTACAGCTGAAGAATTTGTAAATTGACGGAGTAACAACGTGAATAATATTATATATAAGAATGAAACAAACAAACAAAAAAGCCTTTAATCTTGATCGGGTTGATTGTTCAATTTATGGATTCAAAGACATAATTTTTTTCTTTTTTTTTTTTTTTTTTGATTTTTTGGATTTACACCTGAATTGTAATAATTATTTTGTACCCTGATTAATTTTTTGTCTTGTCCTAGTCTGAATGCTGTAGGTGATTCAAATTTTATCTGGATAATTGCAGTTATGAAATCTTATACTTTTGAAGTTTGTCTCCTTTTTTTATTCTTCAAAAAGTATGTAGATTTGAAACTGCTAATATGAATGTATTTTACTTTTTTCTTTGTCTGACAGCAATAATAATTTGATTTCTTTCTTTACAGGCAGACACAAGGCAGACTAACTGTTGTAGGGGCGGGGAGTTTGCAGATATATCAAGTACGTGAGGAAGACTCTGGCACCTTTACATGTCGAGCTGAAAATCCTATCGACTCAGAGGATGCAGACGCAACCCTCACAGTGCAAGGTATGGATGACAGTCTAGTAGACAGCTCAAGTCATGTAGTTTTCAATCCCAATGCATTTTTCTCAAAATGCCTAAAATCATGGAAGCGAATCCTTAATTTTCCCCACGGCAGACTGTGTGCCACAGTTAATAAACTCATCTTAATAGAACATAACATACACCATAATTCAAGCTGTATTTCTAATGGATTAAATTTGAGTTTTAAAGTTCTAAAAAATTAAAAAGGTTTACGCGTGATAAAAGTTTAAAACATTTATCAATACCAAATCAACAATAGTATAATGGAGGGGAGGTAACTCTTAGTAGATTCTTCGATATTTCTTAGATCTGTGTTACCAAGTCAAAGATAACTAACTTACAAACGAGGATCTCTGCTAAAGATCATTTGATGGCATGTTGTTGGAAAGGATTTGAATAAATTTTAAATGAAACAAAAAATTATTTAGATGTGTTTTCATTTCTATTGAATTCAAAATTCGATGTAAAACACAGAATGACTTCCTATTTCTTTATTATTTTAGTTCCTCCATTATTCCGTGAACAGCCAGCTAATCACGTAGCTCAGGTAAACACTGATGTTCTGTTCCTTTGCGACATTTACGGTGTACCAGTGCCAGAGACACAATGGTTCAAAAATGGCCAACGAGTGAAAGATCTCAATGAATCAGATTACTTTCAAATCGTAGACAACAAACATCTGAGGATTCTGGGATTGCTGAAGAAAGATGAAGGGATTTATCAATGTTTCGGAGAAAACTCACTAGGCAGCGTCCAGCGAAGTGCTCAACTGATAGTTGTTGATCCAAGTGAGTTATGTTTCCTACGGAAAATTAGTTTAGAGAAGATAATGAACACTTTTTTTTAAGGTAAAATACCTGCAGGAGTTCTCTTTAGTTTAATCGAAAGATTTTGCCTAATTTTCATCCCCAACATTCTTTGCCGAAACTCAATTCCTGGAATTTCTTTATTTTAAAGGAATTTTAGTTAAGTTGTTTTCGTATCTTATCCAAGGATCGTAATTATCCTTTGATGATTAAGTCAAAATTTCAACATCAAGCAAAACTACAAGTACTCTTTAGTAACTTCCCGTGTAATAATACTTACCTCCCCTTGTACAGCATGATCCAATGAAACCCTTTGTACATGGATTATATATAAATATCTGTGACCCTTCCCTGCAGAAAAAAATCTGAAATCTCAATATCCCAACTACACTGCAAATAAAGCTCTTATTCAGGAGTACACATTCAGAATGTAATGATTTTTTTGGAAGACGTGGTTTGATTTTTTTTCATTTTTTTTTTTTTTTTTATTCATCAAAGAAAAAAAAATATATTGAACAAATTAACAGATTAATATTTGTAGATATATATTGACCAAACAACCATTTTTCCCCACTATGTGCCTTCGTTTTTTTCCTTCATGCATAATTCTTATCTATGAATAAGGGATATATTTGCAGTGTTGTGTATATATATATATATAATCACCAAATTGATATATTGATTTCAGAATATGTATGTTTACCAAGGTTTACCATTACATACATCCGAGGCTTGTATATCCAAATACTTATTATTTCTTTTCATCATTAAAATGAAATGGAAGAAGGAAATTTGGAAGGGAAAAAAGTATATAAAACATGTTTGCAAAGTTTGGTTTTGGAAAACATTTTGATTTACAAAACAATAGTAGATTTAGACATTATAATAATTTGAAAATTTCAGGAATATTTTTTTAAACCAATTTAAAAAAGAATCGTATAACAGTAAGTGTTTGAAATTCAAAATTTAAAAACTTTTTTATGTGATTTCATAAGAGCATGTAAATAAATGAATATACAAAATGTTTTTGTTTTTTGGTTTCAAGGAAAAATTTTAAAAGATTAAAATTTAGTGGCAAATAGTGAGGATTAGAGTTGAACAAAATTCAGCAAAATACATATTTGTGATTCTTCTGTAATAAATTCAAATTGGTGAGCTTCAAATGTAAATTTATATGAAAAACAAATTTGTTGTATAGCAATTATTTGATAATAAATCAATCTTTTTATTCTGCAAACTTACAAGCCTCAGATATGTTCAATGAGTTTATAACATGCATTTTAGACTCACTTGCAACTTAAATATTGAAAATCATATTCAAAGTTTGATCTAATGTTCTTCAAATTCCTTGTCTTGTTTTAAAAAGTTAAAAAATAATTTTAAAATCAGAATTTATAATAACCTTAAAAGATTATTTTGTTCTATGTAAAATTGTTGAAAATCATGGAAATTAATTTTAAAAACAATAGAAAATTGAATTAGATAAAATGAAATGATAAATTTCTCATTAATGGTAGTAGTACTGAACATATGGTGCACGAATGCTGTGATTGTTGATGAAAACTATATATAGATCAATTTTTATACCCTCTTTGTGATATATACTCAACTAACATGGAGAACTAGGACAAAACTGTTAAGGTGGTTAAAGTGGTCAAAATGATCATTCATTTTTGAATGAATAGAATTTGGAATTACTTCAGACTATGTGGCAAGTGATTGGAGCAGCAATTTAAAAATTCATGAATTTCCATGAAGAAAAAGGTATACTGACCAATGAAATGTTGGCTTTTATTTGACAAAAGAAATATCCTTCAGTTATTGACCAATGAAATAAATGTTTTCTAGTAATTGACCAATGAAATGTTTTCTAGTATTTGGCTAATGAAAAATTCTGTTGCTTCTTGTATTCTGTTTAAAGTGATTTGTTTTACCATATTGCTTACAAGCTTCTTCATATAATTTTGATATTTATGCAAATAGAAAAATTGAGTTCTGATCAAGGTTCGTTATTAGTTATAAATTTGAATTCATTTGAATTTTTTTATTTCATATTTTAATCGATCAATATTTATTCACATATCATTTACATATTCAGATCACATGTACTTTTACACGTATTGATTTTTTTATCCTGTTACCCCCACATAAATATGATGGACCATTCCATTATGTATATATGGGGGTTTTGGGGCTAATTAATGTGAAGGAAAATGTGGTGGGGTAGATTATCCAAACTCCTGTAGTTAGTTGACATGGGAATGAAGGGAGATAATCCATGGTGTGACTGATCCAACCAGATGCTGTATCTGTAGTGTGCTGTCGTTGTTGTATTGTAACCTTTGCATGGTGTACCTAATCAAACCTGATATCTTACATTCTGTATTTCCTAATCATGCATAGTGACTATAGGTAAACAGAATACAGACCCGAAAAATGCATACATGTGGAATGTACAATTAAATTTTAAGAAAAAAAGAATGATATCACAGAAAGTAATGGTTTTCTAGCCTTTCATTCTAATTTTGCAACTTAATCATGGTTTAAAACTAATACTGACACCTCTAACTGATAAAACAGTTAAACATATTCATGTTTTTTTCTTCTGATATAGAATAAAAGCATTCATGATTAATCATGATATTGTTCATAAGTAATTAATTTCCACCTTTTAAAGATTAACATAAAAAATCTTTTACTGACTTTGTGGTGTAAATTTAAGGTCTTAACTTTGGAGGAACATGATTTTTTGCTGAACTGGAAATAATAAAAAAAAAATGATTGAAATTCGGATTTATTATAGAATTTTTTTTAGGAAATGGAATTGGAAAAATTTTAAGATTTTTTGTTTCTTTTTGTATTGGGATTTTTAGGAAATAAACTTTGCTGTTATGTATTGTATCCTATATATAGCATGAAGCATAGTGTGGTTTTCTATAGTATGTTTGATTTGTGTATATTGCCAAACTTATAAAAATAATCCCAGTCATGATGGTCTTCCCTGGGCGTGAAGGATGTTTGAATCATTCTTTGATTTGGTTCTATCCTTTAATTAAGTGAACAAATGAGTAGGGCTTATTTTGGAGTGTTGACATTTGATAGAGGAATGAGTCATATTGCTTGTAGGAGAAATGATGACAGGGAATGGAGTATAGAAGAATATTCTAGCAGTAGGAAGACACATGCTGCCCACTTCATTCTGGGGTTAGATTTCTGAAATCTATAATAATAAAAATTGACCCTTGAATTGGTAATACAACATCAGAATATTGATAATAGCTTTTATCCAACATTAAACTTGGAACATCTCTCCCCTTCTCCCCTCCCCCTCAAATGAAAAAAATTAAATGTCTCCTCACATCATTTATTTATCTCTGTCACACTACAGTGAAAAAGATGAACAGGGTTAATTAAAGACTGACTTATCCACTAGATGAACTTTGAATGGGAGTTTTGGTTGCTATAGTTACCCAGAGTAAAGATGGCTGATTCAGCTCTAGCTATCTCTGACTTTGTTTCATAGTTACATCATTTGCCCCTGGTTACAGCAGATTTCATTCTGTTTGGCAGTATATACATTTATCTTATGTTAATCACCTGTTTTATTTAACCTGTATATTTATTTATTATTTATTTATCATTTGCTTTCTTGTTTTATCATATTTTCATGATCATCAAAACAACTCCTCAGGTCATGACCTTTGAACTTTAAACTATTGTTCATTTCAATATAACCCTTATTCAAATTACTTCTTGTTGTCAAAGAGGAAAAGTTCTCTGATTTTCTTAGATACAAAGTACTTTGATATTGTTATAAATAAGCATTTAATACAGTTGAATGTCCCTCAATAAAACACAGCATAATAATCAAGAGCTGTTGTAGAAAATGAGTGCCAAAGAAAACCGCGTCCATTTTGATGTACAATCCTGCAGTAGTACTTCATCTGAATAATATCCATCTGTTTTATCAATATTTGCAATATTTTCTCTTCATTCTTACATCATATGTAGTTCATATCATTATAATATATACTGTCTGTGCAAACCCTTGCACACAGTATTTGTAAAGCTAAACAAGAGCATGAAAGAACATGACATAAGCACAAATTTTACATTTTCCCAAAAAGTAGCTTCACATAATTTTCAAAATTATCATATAATGTGCTAAAAGTGGGGAAAATTTCAAAACATTTGTTTTTTTTTTTTAAGGTAAAAGAATTGAAAAAAGTAACTTAAACAAATCATTTTCAAAATTCTGGTAGGATGTGTTAAGAAATGGAAAAAAGATTTATTTTGTTTTTTCAGAATAAAAGAATTAAAACCTGATATGAAAATTATTTGATTGTAGTGTTTCTGTTCTTTCATGTTTTCTGCTACACATAGATGGACCTTTAATATACTTGCTTACCAAACTACAATTTAAACTGCTTTGATTTATTTATTGATGTAACCTTTCTTAGTGTTGTTTGTTGGCTTTGTTTATTACCTCCCTTGTTTTTACGATTACCTCCCTTTCCCCTGCTACAGAGGTCTCCCCTCCCACCCCCTCTTCCTTCACACGGCCTATACATCATTTAGGCGGCATCTACGGTGACCTGACACGCCTTCCCTCTGAGCCAAGAGATTTGAGAGCAGCCATCGTTTCACGGAGGTTTGTCACCTTGTCATGGAACCGACCCAGGTCAATCGGTGAAGGGGAGACAACCCAACTGACTTACTCTGTTTATTGGAAGGAGATGGGATCTGAAAGGTAAAGTTTGACCCCTGATAAAAATGATGGCCCATTTCAAGACATTAATTAATACCTATTAAAAATGTGTGAACATTTTGCATCATTTTTATGGTCAAAGAAAAATGTTCTGTTTTTTATTTCGTCATTTCTTTTCGTACCTTAGCAAACAAATTTTGTGCAATATATCAATACCAGATTGATTTTTAACAAATTCATTAATTATGGCAATCCTACTATTCAAAAAACTAGTTAAAAATGTGAGGACATTGACAAATGCAATGAAAGTTAGATATAAAAAGGACCAAATCATTACAGAAAATTAAACATTGGAGCAATGCTACACTTAACAATTTAGATATAAGACAGATTCAGACAGATTTAATTCTAGGAAAATGAAACATTAGCACACTTGAAATAGACAAATTCAATATGATGTAAGTTGCAAAACTATTTCAGTATGGGTTAAATAGAACATTAGAGAAAGTCCTGGGCTATTTAACATTTGATCAATTTGAAATTTATCAAATCTTTTTCAATTTTTTTTTCAAATACTGTAAAATCACATACATTTTTGATGGCACTTCCTGAATAGATCTCACTATAAAATCCACTCGTTATCAAATCTGTGTCAACATTTATCTCTTTATTATTTTGTGGACATTGAAATTTGTGGATTGAAACTACCCACAAATTAAAAAAAATCTTCCTCAAAAATTAATAATTTTACTGTATGAAATTATGTTGTACATCTGACTGTTCTTGATAGCAGCTTACTTACAGGTTTCCTTGCTTACTTGTAATTTGTTACAATAGGGAGAGAGTGATGAACATTACACAACTAGGGGCTAATATACAGCATCTGAAACCCAACACTGCATACAAGTTCCGTCTTCGCTCGTACAATGGATATGGACCAAGCCCAAACTTTGCTAGGATTTCAATCACAACAGAGAAGGATGGTGAGAGTTTCGTGCTTTCAGAACATTTTGTTTTCATGGTTGCCATAAAAATGCTTATTTTGGGGGAGATATAATCATTTAGGCAATTTCTGATGATTTATCTGAAAGACGTTCCATCATTTTTAGATTGTGTTACTTTAATAGGAAATTCCATTGATTGTTTCTATACAAGATAAAGTTATCTCCCCTGATTGTTATTTAATTCTGCATGAGAAACAGTTATCTTGTGTCTGCAGTAGTGAGGTATTTTCTTTTGAAAACGACAAAAAATATGATTGAAATATACTATCAGAAATATTCAGAATCAACTCCACAGTAAATTATTATCTTTTAAAACTGTTCTTCAAAATATTTTTCTGCATAATTGAAAATTTAATGTACATTTTCTTCAATGGGTTGATTATACTAAACTCTGTGTCAATTGGAATCTTTGCTTTATAGTTGATGTACCAAGCCCTCCTACAAACGTCCGAGTGACTGCACTCTCCTCGAGGGCAATTCACATTGAGTGGGAACCTCCAGTCAATGCCAAAGGGATAATTAGCAAGTATGTTGTCATATCGTACGAAGTTGGCAAGGACAGTGGGGAGAACCGAGAGGAAGTCTTAGCTACTGAGTATACATTGGAGAACCTAAAAAGCTTCCGGGAGTACAGCTTCCGTGTTTTTGCTAGTAACGAGATCGGAGATGGAACAAGTTCTAAGGAATACACTTGTAGAACATTCTCTGCTAAACCGAGTGACACGCCAAAAAATTTCTCTGTGGAAACTTCCAGCTCAGAGGTTTGTATTTATTATGCTTCCATACTGTGCCAGGTTCAAAATCATCCAAATGTTTGTAATTTATGGTCTTTCAAACTTAAATTACCTTGTACCAGTTTTGTAAATATTGTGATAATTTGTCAAAATTTTGTGTAATATTTGATCCATTGTCTAGAGTTATGTAACAGAAACAGGTGAGCATCTACCTGTGATTTTACTCTATTCTCTATTTTCTCACAGAGTATCATTGTCAGATGGGAACCTCCACCAGCCGACGCCCAAAATGGCGTCATCACAGGTTATAAAATTAAGTTCAAGAAACGAGGTGACAGTCGTGCTGAAACCGTGACAACAGATGGAAACAGACGTCTGTACGCACTTACAGATCTAACAAAAGATACGGAATACCAGGTAAGGGGTGATGATATGGACGTTAGGACTACACAATCACAACAGGCATATACCTTCCAACTGTTGTTTTAACCGGGAAACTCATAATTAATTATCTAAAGTTCAAACTTTCCTTTGTTGGTTTGTGTTTATCAGAAAGCTGTTGAAATAACAATTTTTCAAAATAATGAAAATTGAAGTTTTGGTATTGGTAAAATTTTGAAGCTGGATTGGTTTACAAAAATATTGATTTCCCAAATAAAAAATCAGATTTCATTTCATTATAGTTCTGATTTTGGGCAAGACCCTTTACCTCACTTGCTCCGGCTAGCATGGGACTGTTCAGTTATTCAATGAGATAATCACAAGCTTTGTAGTGACAAGGAGACCTGGCCACAAATTAAAGTAGGCCATTGATTAACAATCTAAGTATTTTTTTTTACCTAGAATAATGTATATATCTACATTTATTTTTCTTATTTTTTAAGGTGAGAATCTCAGCACTTACTGTCAATGGAAGTGGACCGTACGTTCGCTGGCACAGAGCTACCACCTATCGCGATGATCTTGACGGTATGTATGTGATAACTCAATTAAATATTTTGAATTGGTCAGAAAGGGATGTGTGTACCTATAATTGAAGTTGTGATCCCTGATAAAATTTTGAAGCTGAATTGATTTATAAAATTATTGATTTCCAAGAATTAAAGTAAGATTTAATTTCATAATGTTTATTTAGTTCTAGATGCCTAGGAGTATGTTTTGTGACATTTACCAAAAAATTATCTCTGGTTCTTGGATTTGAAGGAACATTTCTATTTGCTTTTTGTTAAGGCCATCCTTAATCAATGGAAAATTATTCTGAAACCACTATAGTAAAGCGACAATCAGAAAATCATAATTCAGTCTATATAACAAGGGTTTCTTAAGAGGAAATTATCAATGTCTGTAAATAGCTTTGACTTCCTTTCAAATCTTCACTTACCATTAAAAAAAAAATTCAACTTGAAAATATGATGTAATACAGAAATTTATAGTCTGTTTAATGATTTCTGAGGGGAAACAAGTTTTTTGCCTCAGTGAAAATTGAAAATTGGAGGCAATGAAGAAAGCGTTATCTATAAATATTTTCCAATATCTGATTTGTTTGTTTTCACTCGAATGCTGCTATTTTAAATATCCTGGATATTTATGTAAAATTTTAAGCTTTTACAAATATTGTCCTTGAGTTTCAATTATATGTCTGCTGGTTACATCAATTTCCTTCAATTTCTAGGTTTCGTCTCACCGAAATTTGGTCGTTAATAAGACTTTTGTGTTTTACAGAGACAAGAGTTCCCCCACCTCCAAGGTTGATCCGTGTTGTGCCATATGACACGTCCATACGAGTATCATGGTCAGCCCCAGATCCCGAGTCTAAGATTTTGGTACGAGGTTACATACTGGGGTATGGCAAGGGAGTACCTGACTCGTACCGCCTTACATTGGACGCTGACAATCATGTTTATACAATAGATAATCTTCGTAAGTACTGCTATGGTATTTTGATTTTTGAAACATTAAATTTTTTTTTTAAATGCCGAAATTTTCTGTAAATGATTTTACATTTGTATTTGTGTTCACAGAACCAGCATCACAGTATGTTATCACTGTGTTAGCTTTCAATAATATTGGAGACGGGGAACCCAAGTACCAGACTGCGGTCACCAGTGAAGAGACAGGTAGGTTTAACCTAATCGGGGGAGAGCACTCCAGCTACTTCACATTGTTATAACAAAACAATTAGTCGCACCGGTGCCATGTCTTGAATTCACAGTGAAAATTCTCATACATGTTTTTCGTTATTGATAAAAAGCAATTTAAACAAGAAAACAAATGTAATTTACCATTTCTTTTCACCTTGAAAAATGTATTGATTTTTTTTTCAGTCACAGAACAAGTGACTCCAATGATGCCTCCTGTTGGCTTAAAGACGATTGTGTTGTCATCGTCAACAGTTGTACTGACTTGGGCAGACACATCTTTAGGGAAGTCACAAACCGTTACAGATAGCCGTTACTATACAGTACGTTACACATCGCTGCCCAATAACAATAAACGTTACAAAACTATCAACTCAACGGACCTCAATGCCCACATTGACAACCTCAAGCCCAACACACGCTACGAGTTCTCAGTCAAGGTCATCAAAGGTCGCCGTCAAAGCACGTGGAGTATGAGTGAAATTAATGTCACACAAGAATCAGGTACAGAAATCCATAATTTTTGCCACTGCAATTCTATGGAATATCTTAATATGTTGTAAAATCATTTTTGTAGATATTTGTTTTCATTTATTTGTACATACTCTAAATCCATGAATTTTTATGTCGAAAAAAAAAACAGATAAAGTTGATTTCATGAGCAAGATTTACCCATGAAATCAAAGAAACCAAAAGATGTGTATATTTTTGGAAAACCACAAAATTTTAGCCCCAAAAAATAAAAGATTACACAATAGGTGTTACCCATGTCCCTGACCGCCCCATTCATTCAGAATCAATGCTATATCTTAAAAAAAACTCTTAACAGATTTGTTTCCCCTGTTTTCTCCATACCATCATATTCTGGTTGTATATAGGAGCTTGGATTTAACTAACTTAGAGACAAATTCTTATGCAATCTTGAGTCATGTCAATTTTGCTACTTCCTAAGTTTGAATTATGCTTTAACCCAATGGCTGATGATTTGATACCAGAACATGTCTTGCTGAGAATATGTTCAAATTTTAAAGGAAATATTACATTATCATTTATCCTGAATTAATGAAAGCCTGGTTCCCAACTCATCACCTTAGATTAAAAGTTTTGGTTGGATTATTAGAGGACAATGAAGAGGTTTTTTTATTTATTTTTTTAAAGGTGGCCTATTAGTTGGCTCAGAAATTACTATTGAATAAATAAGGTATTACAGTTTTTGTCTATCTACTCTGACAGTTTCATTGCTTTACAGCACCATCTACAGTACCAAGAGACCTGACCCCTGTTCCAAAGGAAGACAACCCCACAGCTGTTACAATGAATTGGCAACCTCCCCAGAAACCTAATGGGCAGATCACAGGTATGTTTTGTTATCATGTGACAGAATACTCAAGAGTCAAGGGGAGATAAACATGATGTCATGGGGAGATCAGCATGATGTCAAGGGGAGATAAACATGATGTCATGGGGAGATCAGCATGATGTCAAGGGGAGATAAACATGATGTCATGGGGAGATCAGCATGATGTCAAGGGGAGATAAATATGATGTCATGGGAGATAAACATGATGTCATGGGGAGATAAACATGATGTAATGGGGAGATCAGCATGATGTCAAGTGGAGATAAACATGATGTCATGGGGAGATCAGCATGATGTCAAGGGGAGATAAACATGATGTCATGGGAGATAAACATGATGACATGGGGAGATCAGCATGATGTCAAGGGATATAAACATGATGTCATGGGAGATCAGCATGATGTCAAGGGGAGATAAACATGATGTCATGGGAGATAAACATGATGTCATGGGGAGATAAACATGATGTAATGGGGAGATCAGCATGATGTCAAGGGGAGATAAACATGATGTCATGGGGAGATCAGCATGATGTCAAGGGGAGATAAACATGATGTCATGGGAGATAAACATGATGACATGGGGAGATCAGCATGATGTCAAGGGGATATAAACATGATGTCATGGGAGATCAGCATGATGTCAAGGGGAGATAAACATGGTGTCATGGGGAGATAAACATGATGCCATGGGGAGATAAAAATGATGTCATGGGGAGATCAGCATGATGTCAAGGGGAGATAAACATAATGTCATGGGGAGATCAGCATGATGTCAAGGGGAAATAAACATGATGTCATGGGAGATGAGCATGATGTCAAGGGAGATAAACATGATGTCATGGGGAGATCAGCATGATGTCAAAGGGAGATAAACATGATGCCATGGGGAGATAAACATGATGTCATTGGGGAGATCAGCTTGATGTCATGGGGAGATCAGCATGATGTCAAGGGGAGATAAACATAATGTCATGGGGAGATCAGCATGATATCAAGGGGAGATAAACATGATGTCATGGGGAGATCAGCATGATATCAAGGGGAGATAAACATGATGCCATGGGGAGATAAACATGATGTCATGAGGAGATAAACATGATGTCATGGGGAGGGATCAGAGGTCTTTCTTCCTTGTGACTGGTGCATGTATTTTTCCAAACTAAAAAAAGAAAATAAATGCTGTGTAGTTGAACTCTGTTCACCTATTTTTACTTTGTTGTCCAACATATGACCTTTATTGACCTGTAGATAACCTTTGTGGATCTTAAGATGACCTACTTTATCTTGTTCAGACCTCTGTTATCCTGTGCATGACCTATGTTGACCTGTTGATGACCTTTGTTGACAAGTAAATCACCTTTGTTGATTAATTTTTCTCCAGGGTATCTATTGCTCTACACAACTGACCAGAGCCAAAGTGACCGCGACTGGGTGGTTGAAGGAGTGTTAGGAGAGAAGCTGTCCACCACTGTCAAGGGTCTCACACCAGACACCACTTACTACTTCAAGATACAGGCTAGGAATAGTAAAGGTTATGGTCCTATGTCCAGCACGATCATCTACAAAACTCCAGCAAGTAAGTGTCACAATCAAGGTGGAGGGTTTAGGCCATTCAAAGCTTCATTTTGTAATTATCCAGCAGTCTTACGAAAAAGATACCTTGAAAATATTCATTTATGTTTATGTTTTTATCGCAAGTTGAAAGCCATCAGTTGAAATTTGTAAATGTCAAATTAATTCTTACAGTTAAATGAAAATTTCTCAAATTATTTTTAGAATCTGTTTTTAAAGTGATGTGTAATACAGGATATTGTATGTTCCTAATTCATAATGCTATCATTATTTAATCTTTAAATTGTCTTTCTAACAAGTATGTCAGTCATTTTTTATTTATAAAACAAGTGCTTTTGGAAGTGATGTAAAGAAAATTAATAAGAAATTATTTAAAGTGATTAAGATCTAACCAATATGACTTTTCAAAGTATAAGTTAAAATAATTTGAATGTGTAGTGTAGAACAAGATAAGGGATGCATTTGGTGTGAGGAGCATGGTATCATTGCATGGGCAAGGGGAGGCTACTCTTATTGACAAGACAGCCATAAAAGGTCATAAAACAAACATTTTTGAGACCTAGGTTTTTTTACAATGGAGTTTGGTTTACTAACACCTGTCTATAGTATACATCTGGGGGGAAAAACATGCATTTTGGACACATTCTTTTTCGTGAAAATGATGTCCATGATCGGAAGTCTTTTTATGCGAAAAACTTATTTTGGTAAGTACCTTAGACATAGTGAAGTAAGAAATAAACTCGGTTAAGCTGATCCATCTCTGATTGGCTGAATAAGTGCCAAGTAACTTTCCTGAAGGAGTTGTCTTGCAGTCACGGTTTAGAATAAATCTTTGAGGAAGAAGTTAGAAAGATTTTAGATTTTTGAGTTTTTAGGTCACCTGAGACAAAGTCACATATCCCTTAGTGGAGGTGGTAAAGTTTACTATAGTTTATATACAAAAAAAAATTGGATGTTTGAGCAAAATTTGTTTAATTTCCATTGGACATATTTGAAACTTCAAATTATGAGTAAAGGATGACGGCTTGATGGTATGACCATTTTGATCCTGACTGATCCCCAGGGGCTAATGTGTGGTGCCAGAAGGGGTCAAATTAACTTCAATTTTAAAAATCTTCTTCTCAGGACCCATATATGGTAAAATCAAATGCTCTTTATGAAGAAAGCATCTGAAGATGCTTTAATTACCAAAATGAGTCTCACATTTCGTCCTGGGGAAGAATATTTTTTTAGACTTTACTGTAATTTTTATAGAAAAAATGTATTTTTGAACATAACATTGGTTATTTCCAAATGAAAATAACTTACTAAGAATTATCAGTATAGAATAACAGTTTTTAAAGAATGCATATATTGACACTGTACATATTCAATGTCACAATTTCCGTTTCATGACACTATCCTTTAACGTTATATATATTCAATATATCTCAGGTGACCTTCAAGGCCGAGAGGCATCTTCTTTTCCCGAAATATCTCAAGAAACCCCTCTTTTGTAAAGAAACCAATATGAAGTTGATGTTGTAAAGATCAATAATTAGAATATACCCACCCAGTCAGACCAACACTTGTTCAGTATCACTAAGTAAAACAATCTAAAGTCACTCACTGGGAAATGATTTAAAGGGGTTTCATGTATAAAACTAGTATTTGAATCTTCTTTTTTTTATTTGTTATGCAAAAAAAAACAAATTAATTGCTTCATTATATTTTGCAAGTTCTCTAACATAAAGTAAAAAAGTTTGAGTGGCAAATACACATATCATAAATCAGATGACAAATTAACAGGGTAATCTACCTTATAACTCTGATAGTGTGCCCAGAATTTTGACAATAAAAAATGAATGGTAATCATGTGTCCTGAGATAGGCCCACTTTTGACTCAGAATTGATGTGACAATATTTTAAAGGACGCGTATGACGTATCCAAGCACCAACATATCCACATCATTGTATCCTGCACTGACACGCTGAATGTCATGTCAGCTTGGAAATATGTTGTTGTTTTGTGCTTTGTAGAAGATGGTACAGGTGGAGGAAAGATCAACCCAAACTTTATTGCTCCAGAGATTAATTACAACCCCAACGTGAACGATGTAGGTAAGATTGCAATGAATTATCTCCCTTGGGTAAGACTGTAAAGAGTTATCTCTCTAGGTAAGACTGCACTGAAATATTTCCTCCAGTTAAGAGTACATTGCGGCATCTTCCCGAGGTAGGACTACACTGAGTTATCGCTACTAGGTAAGACTGCATTGAGTTATCTCCCCTAGGTAAGATTGCACCGAGTTATCTCCCCTAGGTAAGACTGAACTTTATTATATCCTTACTAGAACAGACTACACTGAGTTATCTCCCCGATGTCAGACTGCACTTAGTCATCTCCCCTGGTAAAGACAGCACTAACTTTACTATATCCCCAGTAGATAGGACCATGAGGTATATCCCAAGGTGACAAGGTTGTATTATCTATCAGGATTTCACTGAAATGTAAAACATCAGTTTCTTACAATAGAAATTTACAAACACCATTTTGGATCAGTATCTAGGTACCTATGTATCTCTCTGATGTTTTCTCAGAAATATTGAATCAGAAATAATTTTTTTTCTGTTCATTTAAGGAACAGGTGTTCAATATTTATTTTATTGTAAATATTTCATTTTTAAAGCATATGTTTCACTCAGATTGTCAGTGAAATAGATACAACAGAGTTCTGGAATCTATGGAAAATTCCTTGAAAGCACTAGCTAATCATTCAGGGATTAATGAACAAAAACCTGGCATGTTGCCAAAGTGTTGTGTACTGTTAACTATAGGGGAATTACATGGGATCATTTATGATATCATTTTAGAATGTCACCCTCCAAGATACACTTTCACTTGATATGACAGCTTATATTTTGTCACAAATTTAGATCTTGGAAATAGTAATAAAATCATCTTTCTGGAAAGGTTACTGAATGTTGTGCTGAAAAGTCTAAAGGTACTGGTCTTTACACTATGAATAGCCATCTCGCTGTATATATTACTGCTGGAAATGGTCCTGTACTAATTTCTATTCTAACACTGGAGTACTAATATTCATATTTGGGGCATCAATGTGAACGCTTCATCCAAACATGCATGTTTATGTGGGAGAGGAATACAAATTATGTACACCTATCAATATTTTAAAAAGAGGAATTTAATTTTCCGACATTGTTGATGTTTTCCTTGCAGAGCTCATTCATCTTTGTTCATTTCTTAATATATTGTGTGTTTACGGTACAACTATTTATACGTTTTATTTTGACTGCTCCAATATTTTGAAATCAAATGAATCCTGTGATCATATCAGATAAATTGTGGAGACAGTTTAAGAATGAAATGTTTTTCTTGAAAACTTAGCTACAACTTGCACAATAACTTGTTGTGTTTCTTTGAACTTTTATGATTTTCTTTTTCTGAATTAAGATAAATATTCTCTCTTGTGTTAAAAATGGTACTCATTTTCTGGTATTGTTTTCTCAGAAAAAAAATTATGATCGCTGTTTTCAATCTGATAATATTTAGTTAAGTGCCTTTTTACATAAACTTAAAATTCTCTTGCAACTATTTATTTAGATTTTGCAAGCAGATAGAATAAGTGTTTTTATTTTCCTTCTAACTTTGTCATCTAATTGATGTGTATGTTTTACTTCTGTCAGATGAACAACCCCAGGAGGACGATGATAAACAAAACGATGCTGGCGGCCTTTCCACCAATGTTGTCATCATCATTGTGACATGTGTAGTGGGTGCCTCTTTCTGTATCGTGATCATCGTCGTTGCCATTGTATTGTGTCAAAAACGAGACAATGGAGAACGCAATAAACGGCCGTATGTTCATTTTAATGATTATCACAGATATACCAAGCTAGATTCGAAATATTTATCTTCTAGTGTAACTTTTTCTCGGGTGTAAACTTTAGGATCTGTTTTTATTCTTTAGAGGTTGTTACTTTCTGATGGTTTGAAGTTCTGCAGTTTAAGCAAAATTTAATAGCAAAAGAAGTCTTCTGGATATCATTTAAAGTCTCTTTAGACATTTTATCAATGTTTTTGTATCTTGTAACTTTATACAATCCTCAAAAATATTGAAAATTAGAATTCCTTAATACCAAGTACTTTACATCTTCAAAATCTCCTCAGATATTTTTGTCTTATTGCATTTAGGTGTCAAAGAAATTAATTACAACCAATAATAACAGTTATAGTTTTCTATTGATAATAGGTTTGTTATTGAATTTTTGTTTTACCTGAGTGTAATAAGATGCTGAGGTGTTTGTTTGGTTCTTAATGTCTTATAACCAGAAATTATAGGTATATATTATTTAAGATTTCTTTTTGTTTTACCCCCAGTCAAGCCGCCCAGCAACAGTCCCCTAGTAAAGGCAAGATGGCACAGCGGGACTTAAAGAAACCTGATCTATGGATAGACCATCAACAACAGTTTGAATTAAAAAATGTTGATAAACCAGAAAGGAGTGAATCGATGTTGACGATGAGTACATTACGACGAAACTCTGTAGACGGAAATAAATCGATAGACGATTTGCCTCCATATCATCCCGACATTGACAAAGGTTGGTATCATTCTTAACCTGGACCTATATTTCTACAATCCAGGCCACTTTAATGTATTCTGATACAAAACTAAAATCTTCAGAGTGTATACTACCATACACTTTGTTTGTAATCTCTCATAAAGATTTTCATATTCTGGACAATTGGTAGTGTTTATATAGTGTTTTACCTTAATCTTCATCTCATTCAGTTTCTTTAACAAAGCTTTAAGGGTGTATGCTACATATTATACTTTAGTCTTTCCTTGTAATGTTTCTCAAAAAGAGTTCCATTTTATTGACAATTATCAATGTTTGTAGTATTAGATTTTTGCCTTGATCATCAGCTCAACCTATTTCAGAAAAAAAACCTTAAAACTTAAGGTTATATCTACCCTATATAGCATTGTACCTTTTCTTATAAAGAGTTCCATGTTGTCAACAAAATTTTGAATTGTAGTGATATTAACATTCTGATCATCACTTTAACTAATTTTGTGCAAGAAATTCCTTCTACTTAAGGGTGTAAGCTACCTTATATGTATCTATTTTATTACAGAATTATAAATAAATACTATTTCATATATCTATAATAAGCCCACCCTTGATTTTGAGTGATAGTTTGTATGTTGGCCCTCTGGGTTAACATTGTTAGATAAATACATTGGTTTAAAATCTTTCCATTCAGAATATCCAGAAATAACTTACCATCCCCATGGTAACCATGAGGATCGCTACACGCCTATGAGGCAGCAACCGATACAGCACCCACCGTCAGGGCTGATTCGACCCAAAGCTACAAAACCTCCGATGATGATCGGCGTAGATTCACAGCCCTCTCATCGTGAACGTAAGTATTCAGAAGACCGGCTTTTCTCCAATACAATTCCTAACTATTTAAGTCAGAAAACATCTGATATAGAGATGCTTTTGGGAATTTCTTTGAATATGTTATTATACAACTTGACTTCTTCCAATCATCTGAAAATACACCGCCTTAACCCAATTCGGGGGGAAAATGACCAATTAGGTAGAATTAGGATTAAACAGTATGTTTTGGGAATTTTGTCATATTATGAATTTGCATTCATATGAAGACTCTGGGAAAAGTCATGTTTCATATTTCACAACATGAACCTAAAGATATGATCAATCAGATCTTGTCACCGAAATATTCCCTAAAAATTAATCAGTGCTAAAATATATACGGTGTTATTAAAATATGTATTACGCTTAAGGTCAGAACTGTGAAAACTGAATTCAGAAATAACATGTAAGTGAAGTAAGTAAAGTACAACTTCCTTTATCATGTTTCAGCCATTGCCATGGTGACAGCTTTACAAAGTAGTCAGATGGGTCAGATGGATTCACCTCACGGTATGATGTCTCACTCGCGACCAGGCTTCCCGCGCACTCAGTACAACATGCCGTACACGACGTCACCACGCGTCAATCAAGACCATTCTCATAATAGTAAGTCTGAATGTCATTTCCAAGGGGCAATGGGATGTTTTTATATAACTGTTTTTTCTCTCTCAGTTTTCCCAAGGAAATTTAGAAAGAAAAGACAAACTAAGAAAAATATAGGAATAGAAAAAAAAACCACACATTTTTTGGGTAAATATGAAAAAAAGTAGATATTTTTAGAAAGAAATGATTGCTACAATGATGCAAAGATTTAATACAAAAACTGAACTTAATAAGTGTTGAAAATGAATTACTTAACATCAATGGTTTCGGACAAACATTGTGTTCAATATACTTATTTTGGAAATTTTGGAAATTTTAGTCACTGTGATTTCTGTTTCTGGTATTTTTATTGTGTGTTGTGTATAATGGACTAGATTGCCAAGCATCTTGTAACTCTCTAGTGAATAGAGGCAAAAATATGCATGATTGTTAAAATGGACAACAGTTGGCAGAATTTTTAATGGCCTCAAATGCATATCACTCTCTCAGGATTATATGTTGTAGGAAATGAAATACAGTTATTGGTAGAAGGAACGGAATTGTAGAAGGAACAAAACCTCTTGTAGAAAATATTCGACCTCTTTTAATGAAAACCACTTAATATCATGGGCCATTTGTCAGTCGACACATTTTTTCGAACGTCTAAACCCAGAAGTTAAATTTCTGTTGCACCAAACTGACTTGTTTCAGATAGAAATTGTTTGAAGATCAAAATTTGTAATGTGCTTTGTTTTTCCCATAAGAACAGTGATTTTCCTTAACTTTAGTTTGTTTGTTTATTGAAACAGTTTTACACCTGCCAAAAATTTGTACGTGACACTACAGTGTCATCAGTTTCATTTACCTGTACATCATCAAAGCATAAACTTCTTAACAGAATGTTTAATGAATTTTTACCAACTGTGTGAAAGGAGATATAGATTGCTGTCCTGTACATATGTCAGTTGAATTACATCTAATGAAAAAAGAGAATTTAAAATACCTGTAACTTATTTAAATCACCTGTATTTTGTAGTTACCTGTATTTTCAGTGATAATTTTTATCATGGAAATTTTACCTGTATATTTATACTTTAATGTTTCACTAGAAATTACCTGTATGTATCATATACAACTCACCTGTATTTAGATTATCAACTCACCTGTATTTTAATCGTTAACTCACCTGTACTTATCACTTTATTTACAGTGCATGGGATGCCAATGGACCATAATTGTAAGTCAAGTAATATTTCATCTCTTCCTGTTAAATCTTCAAATCCTTTTCTCTTCTATTACTGCACACTGCCATGATGTCTTTGGTTTCAGCAACATTTTATAAAATTAAAATTATCTCAGAAATGTCTTAAGTTTTGTCCACGAAAATTTGGAACGTTATTGAACCAATGAAATTCACCATTGGCAGTGTGATAGGTGACTCTTTGTTTTAGAAAAATGTATGATTGGAATAATTCTTTTAGACGAAATTTAAATCAAAGGAAAAATGTGTTTAAACAACAAACAAAAAGAGATGTAACTGAGAAAGTAATTGAAATTTAAAAAAGCACTATTTCTTGACGAGATATTTTAATTTTGTGCAAAGAATATTTTAACACTGAATGTTATTGTTTGTTTCTCGGAGACCTTATGCTTGTCTATAATGGTTTGAGAATTCATGGAACTTTAATGACTTTTTAAAAGAACATTAACGTTTGTTTGTTAGTATACATAATAACATTAACTTTAATTACCTCATAAGGCAGTATTTTTCTTTATTTTATTTTTCTCAGCCTTTGAATAACATTTTCATCTTTCTGATATTTTTGACTGTTTGAGTCCAATTTATTGTTCTGATTCTTTGGAAACAATGCAAAATTTTAATTAACAGAAATTTCACACTTTATCTAATTCTTTACATTTTAAATGGAGTGAAGTTTTGTTTAAGGTTTTAGACAGTGTGATATTTCTGCTGTTTTTATTGTGTGTTGTGTATAATGTAACACATTGTGATTCCTTGTCATTGCATGGCTGTATTCTTAAGATTACTGTATTTTCACATGTGTACAACTTCATGTTTGATTCTGTTCGCTTTGAAAGCTTCCAGGATTCTGACTGGTTTCAAATTGTCATGAATGAAATAAAGGTAAAACCAAACATTTGAAATAGAAATCATTTAATTTGAATTTTAACATATTTTGTATGTAACAACTATTTATATATTTGAAACCCGTCAGAATCGTGAATGTAAAAGTTTTCTGTTTTTATCGGAGTTCAACATTTTACTGGTTTATATCTACTCATGATAAAATGATTTGAATCATTTAATAAATTATTGAAAAATAAAACTGAAAACTTTACAAAATACAAGTGAAGCAAGCATTTTTTATTTACTTTTGATGTATTTTTTTGATATTGTGTTCCCAAACTTTTCCCAGCATGCACTGCATCTTGTTCTCCGTTGTTTCTTGCTATGACAGATCTTGTGTCTGCCCTGGATGACGATGAGTCGAGTGTCAACGATCCACTCTTGGACGAACCTTACAACGCTCGAGTTGGATATGGCATGTATCCCTTACCAGCTGTTAATAGTCATAAATTCCTGGGTCTAGAAATTCTCACCTTTATTCAACCATTATAATACAATAAATTCCACATATGTAGTGTTCAGACCAAAAACTGTTTTAAGATATGAGTAAAGATTAAATTCATTTGCCTGTTACAATTGTACATACTCCTGCCACAGTCTAATATTTACCCATATGTACTGGATGCCATTATTGAGAATGAATTTTTCATCTCATCAATTAAGTGTGATAACAAAAAGTGTGTAAAAATTATGATAAAAGCTTTGAACCTCTTTGATTACAAAAAAAAGTTTCTTCGTATTTAAATGTGAGACATGCATTGCATAATTAAATGTTTTTAAATGTTAGATATCCATTAAGTAGCCTGATTGCATGTTTTAACATTTTAAATAAGTCTGAATGAACACTAATTATTTTGCAAATTTTTTTCATCACAGCTTACTTAATTATAAAGATCAGCTTCAACTAAAACCAATTTGCTGAAAACATTTGTCTTTAGTGTCTCCCTGAGCACTATGCATGTGTGTACAACATTAAACAGATTGAATACACAAATCAGATAAAATTCAATTAAGTACCAAAATTATGCTTATATTTTGACCTTTAAAAATTTTTATCCAATAAGATGATTTATTAGCAAAGACACTATGCTACCTAGAAAACTTTGCTTTTTTTTTCTTTTTTCTTTTATCCAAGAATTTTCCCCTCTTAGTTTTGTTTTTATCATATCAAAGAAGTAATTAAATTATAACTTTAATAAAATTTTGGGGAAAAAGAGAACATAAATCATAAGGAGTATGGAAACATTGTTTGAGTGTCTGCTGGCATTGCATGTGTGCACTGTGATAAATGGCCTGAGTGGAAATTAGGGAAGATAAGTGTTGAGTCCATCCATGTATGACATTTTTGCCTTTTAATCATAAAATACATGGATACGAGACTGGTCTTATGTAACTGGGATCAGGTGAAAGAATGATATGAGAAGCTGGTTTAACTCTGTCTTTTATGATAAAGGGACATAACACGATACACCTATCAATTTAAATTTTGACTGATTATGGAAATAGCGGTTTCCACAATACTGTTTAATTTAATCATTTTGAGAGTATAGGGTTGACAGGGTCTGTTCAATCTAGAATTATTTAATCTGAATCCAACACTAATTGTCATTTAAAATGATTACAATAGGTATTTAATTCAGTTATCTCCCTTTCAATAGCAGTTACCTCCCTTTAGGATACAGGCATCAGTGGCATTGCATGGAAATGCAACACCTGGACACTGCTGTCCTTAACTTTACCGCATTGGGCATGCATTGTATCTTCAGGAATCATGCTTATTTTAATGACAAGTTGATTCTCTTTTTGTCCAGTTAAATCCACAAAAAACTTCAAAGGTGTTAAAATTGAAAAGTTGGTTTTAAGCTGATGTTGAAAAAATGGTATCAGAGATTTTATATTTTTACTTGATTTTGAAAAGGAAATTGCAGTTAAAAATTTTAAGAAAGAATCAATGTTTTAAAGATGTGAAGTTATTACCTATGTTTCGATGTTGACGTAGAAGCAAAAAGAAAAGAAAAATCTGTAAAACATCTTAACAAATTAATAGAAATGTAGTGCTATTACTGCTTTTGAGAGAAGAACATGTAACATGGTAATCTATCAGTAAGTGGAATGGTGGAAATCACAGGACAAAGGATTATGCGTTGGATTTAACTTTTTGGCCAGCCAAGCTAATGTGCTGTGTACTAATTTCCTTCCAGGCCTTAAGTCGCCCGATATCTGCCCCAAGCAGAGCCATAGTCTTCCCCACCTGGCTGGGCACGGGATTAACCCTAATATGGGGTCAGGGTCTCATCCCCACCCTCAGGGGTTGATTCCCCATACCCCCCACAAGGGTCAGCCGACTGCCATTATCTCGCCCGACCAACAGCTGCCTGGCGAGAGCGAGGAACATAAAAGTTTACCCCGATCCCTCCACCGACATCCGCTGCGGAGCTTTTCCGTGCCCAGTCCCCCGCCCCCAGGCAGTAACCCCCTGTCCAGTGTCCAACACGCCCCAAAACACCAAATAGGTATGTACATGTCCTGTCCAGGGTCTGTGTCACATAAATAGAGGACAGGAGCCTCAATCTGATCTTTTGTTAGAGGGTAGAGATCATTTCAAAAGAATCAGCAAAGGGAGATAATCTGATCATAAACCTGGTTTCACGAGGATGATATACTATGAGCTTGTTAAATAAAACTAAAGAAAACAACAGGTAAGGGACATAACTCAATATTGTACTGCAGATGAGAGAGAGAATACCTTATTTGTTACCAGAGGGAACAGAGACATACTGTAATCAGACGTATAGAAGGTAGATAATTTGATTAGTGTGGCAGAAAAATGGGAGAATGAATATCACAAATGGAGATACATAGAAAAGGTAGACAATCTTATCATTCTTTCTTCAAAACCATAGGCAAGGGAGATAAACTTATTATTCTTCCACTGTCGATCTGTTTATACCATCAGAAAGGAGGTTACCTGAAATTACAACTCTAGTCACAGGAAATAACCTTATTCATCAATAGTCAATGGGGCTTACATATTGATTCAAAGACAGGCAAGAGAGAATACTTAGCATTTTTACCTTAAGGAAGGGAGATAACCCAGTAGAGAGATTGTGTCCAAATGGCTCATACCCAAACTAATACTTTGTATTTGTAATACTTCGTTCCTGGCTCCTCCCTGATGTTTTGATGTGGCTTTTCAAATTACCTAGAGCTTATTTCCTTAATATGTATGCATGCTAGCTCTATAATAACCACATCCTAAATCAATAGAACATCTTACTGTTTTATTTATCATCCTTAATGTTTTATTTCGTCTTGGTAGTTAGGATATTGTGTACAATATAGCCAATATATGTTATATTATACTGATGAGAACTTGTAGTTTTATGTAAGTCAAAAGTTTAGTAGTTTCTTAATTTTTCATCTTTTAAACTCTCTAATTCTACAGGAGAGAAAAAAAATGAAGAAAATTGATCAATAAATTACGGTGCCATTATTTCATGACATTTTTGAAGCTACTTATTAATTCAAACTTCATCAAAGTCAGTTGATATTGAGAATCAATTGCTGCAAGTTCTCAGTAGTGTTCCTCTGTCCTCATGTCATCTTCTCAATTATCTCGATTTTGATTTTGTGATGAAAATCCTCCCTTGCTTGTTAAAATCTGTTATAGACTTTTTCTTATTGGTATCAAGAATAAAAAGAAGTTGGCATGGGAGTTACACTCTTATGACTTCATATGAAATCTGCCAAACCATGCCAGTGTCACTTTATCTCGAACTGACTTTTGTTTACAGTAAAGCCTCAACAGACGTCAAGTCCGTATAAAAAGCCGACGCCTCCTATATCCAGCGTCCCTATTAAACCACGTACAACGATGCCTATTATTAGCACCCCTAAGGCACCTGATGTGGTCCTTAAAGGGAGCCAAGAAGATCCAGACCTTCAGGTAGGCTGAAAATTCCATGAGTCTTTTATTTTTGATGACTGCAGATATGAGTCATGAGACATAGAACATATAACTATATGCATTTTCAAAGGGTAAAAAAAATGTAGTTTCATTGAAACAATATAGTTAATTTTTGTAATGTATAGAACAATTCTGAAAGGAGCACCAACAAATGATTTAAAAAAAAAAAAAAACAGAAAATTCAGAGAAAGTTTTTTGAAGAACAGAAATGTTTGAAATGATTTTCAGTGAGAGGGAACCTCATAGAGGACCATTTATAGAACAAAACTTTCTGGGATGGGATTTGGTTAAACATCAATAGCATAGTGATTAAGCATTGAATTGTTGGTTTTGTTCCAGAAGTCGGTCAGTACCGAGGAACTGACAGCAGAGATGGCTAATCTTGATTGTCTAATGAAGGATCTTAATGCCATCACGCAGCAGGACTTTGAGTGCTAACCCATCATATTCCACATCATCACAAGGGCAGACAACTCACAGACTTCTCTCCATAGGAGTTCATAGAAGTGTGGATAATTTACCTGAAAGAGTTCCTATTCAAGGGCAGATAACTTATCTACATAATTATATCATTACATAAAAGACATTTTATTTGTTAAGGAGTGTAACTCGTCAAGTCATTGTTTCATTTTAATGTAGGTATTTTCACCTCATGTTTCATTCTACAATCAACAGCAGGGATACAGTCCTGAGTTGTCACCACTGCTTAACCCTAACGAATCATTAAAGAAAATGGCATCATTGAAACAAACATGTACAAAACCAACATTTCCAGGTTTTTTAAAGTATGCTGATTCTAAGATTGACTAAAAAATTATATGATCAGACAACTGTGCATTGTTTATGATGTCACTTCCTGTCGCTGTTGTGATGGTGTCACACGCTGTTTTCATGATGATGATGAAGAAACTTCATGTGAAAGTGACAGTGATGTCACTTCCTGTTTAAATGATAGTGATATCACTTCACATCAAAGTGATGGTGATGTTACTTCCTGTCTAAATGAAAGTGATGTCACTTTCTGAAGAAGTGATTTTTTTACCACTTCCTGTCAATATGATGTCACTTCCTGCTGTGACTACTTCCTCAAAAGAATATTTGCATGGGTGCGAGAATATGCATATATGTGTGTTATGTAAGCGAACTTGTCTGTGAAATACGACAAGGTATTAACTTGCTGCATGAATTTCATAGATAAAACAATATGACCTGTTTTAGATATAAGACCAATGACCATTTATAAAATTCACTCTGAGTGCAGGGATCTCACATTTCACTAGACCATCCTAATGCTGACATAGTATGCCATTTTACCAAGTAATTTAAATATTAATTTTCAATTTATTGAACATCAATCCATAGAGGTTCTTAATTGTAATTAAAGTTGATTATTGAATCTAATTGAGACTTTCTTGTCTGTTACTGATCCTCGATTTTTTCTTTTAAGTGATTTTAATCTTATTCAATTTATACAATATTTTAACATATTTACAGAAATTTTTTAGATTTTTTACCCTGAGTCTTGACAACTATGAATAAACTGTTTTTTCTATAGATATGCGTTTGTTTTTGGTTGAGAAAAGTAAATAAAAAGTATTTGATGGATCTGTCTTATTGTGTTTAGTTAATATTCTTGATGTCAAAAGTGTTGTGATAGAAAAAAGTTATTTTTATTTTTTGTTTTATAGTGAGCCAAAATGAACACGTTGTTGTAGTTTAGCAGTTCAATAGGTTGTATTGAATGTATTAGCTTGAACACCTTCCAAGATGTCAAATGTTTTTGTTTGTTATGATTTTCCAAATGTCAACTCAGAAAGAGTATTTATAATTAAATCTTGATTGATTTTATCGTTTGATGATTTGATTTAAAGACTTTTATGTGACTTTGTTTCCCCCATACATTCACTGTGGTCTTTTTAAACATATTATACTTTAGACAAAAGTTTCATCTGCTGATGACCATTTTTTAGGCTAAGAATTTTTCAAAGGTATAAATATAACCATCTGAATGTTTCTTCATCAAAAGAATTTAATAAAATTTGAGTATAAAATGTGTACACAGAAAAGATTTATAACAAAGGGAGGTAACTTCCATGATAACTGAATTGATAACCAGCTGAATGTTTCTTTATCGAACGAATTTAATAAAATTTGAGTATAAAATGTGTACACATAAAAGATTTGTAACAAAGGGAGGTAACTTCCATGATAACTGAATTGAAAACCTGATTGTTACTTCCCATCACCTGCTAAATGTGAAGTGTTATTTTGTTCATATTAAGAGAAAAGTGAATTTATATATAACTTGTGTTCTGCTTACATAGAAGTATTCCTGCTGTCAATGAGTTTTGCCCTGACTTCATGTCATGTATATCAATATTACACTCATTTTAAAGAAAAATAGGTTGTAAGTCGACGGTGAAATAAGGCCATATCATTTATAACAAAACACATGAATTTTGTTTCATTCATGTATGCTGGCATATCTATGATGTTGAAATACATGCGTTACTTGTATGGATGGTTGTGAAAGTTTACGAGAGAGCTGTGCAGGTTGCTGGAGTTGACAAGTTTACACGTGTGATGTATGTCTGCCTATTATAGATAAACTTGTATCAAATTGAATATTTTTATAATGTATCATTTTATCGTAAATATGTGACAAAAATACCATGTTTTTATGTGACACTGATCTTAGGTACAAGTATTGCTTGGTGCTTTTTGAATTCACCATAGAGCAGATAATATTTTTTAGCATCATTTTATTTAATTTCTTATTGAATCAGATTTGGGATCATACAGTTAATAAATGTCATTTCATCAAATTTTGAATTTAAGGAACAGGAGAGGAAAACATGAGAAAACAAAATTCTGCTCGGAATTGAGATTGACATCGAGGTAAATATTCTAAAATAATTTTTAAAAAATACTGCTTTATGGTGATTTGCTAAACAGGTCCTTATATGAATTTTACTTCTACATCCTTCTTGTAAAATATTTGAATGAAATTAATAAATGTTGAGACAAAAAAATTATCAAGACCATGAAAAATAGAAATTAAAAGATGAATGATGAGAAGAAAAAATAACAGGATCACAAAATCATTGAGAATTTTTGGATTTCTGTTTTTTTTTTTTTTTTTTTTTAAATCGGAATAAGGTAGTAACATTTTAATGATTAAATAAAATATTCAGTTTTGATGTAAATTAAATTAGAAATAAATAAAATGATATTCGCAAGAGAAAGAAGGATGTACTAGTATTGTAGAGTTGATGATGTACCTAAACCGAACCAGTTCAACCTGCTGGCAACTTAATGTGATGTCACATCGCATTCATAGTCAGATGAATGTTTAGGTTGAAAGCTTGTATTATGTTTTAATTTTTGATGGTTGAAAAAAATATAAAACAAAATAAATATCTTTAGCATAGTTTTTGTGTCAATATTGTAAATTTTATTTTTTTCTTTTCTTTTTTTTTTTGTTTTTTTTTTTTTTTTTTTTTGTAAATAGATTTTTACCAACCCAGGACTGTGGTGAAGTGGAGGTGAATATTTATTTGTAAATAAATGCAAGGTTGAAATAAACTTGTGAGAAACTAAGGTGAATTATTTCATTCTGAAGTTTTCACTTGTAAACAGTTATGGACTCTGGCTGAGGGGGACAGGGAGTTTTCTACAACATCATGATGTTCTAAAGATTCAAAAACAATCTTATTCGTCTGGATTTTACTGTAAATTTTTTTTGTTTGGTGCTCAAATTTCATAGTACAAAAGCAATCACAAAACCCATTAATAATGAGAAGAAAAAAACATTTCGTATAATTCCCTGGAAAACAGATTTCATATTGGCATTAAGTTGCTGAAAAAATTAAATGAAGAATTTTGGAAAAGAAAGGAAAGGAAAAAATTTTAATCCCTGTTTCTTAATGTGAATTAAATATTAAGTGATATTCACTCAGCTAACTGATGCACACAAACATTAGAGAAAGGCTGATTTACCGATGAAAAAGCTGTGTGGATGTTAAGGTCTTATATTATATGTACCAAAAAAACCGTAATTGTTTTATTTTAAATGGGGTGGAATGGGCCAGTTTTTAAATTTGAAGAAAAATATTGAATTTTCATGGCATTTTTTGTCATCTGGTCATATCAGGTCATATGTTGTGTTTCAAACATGTAGCTAAGGTGACCACTCAACCATAGCCATGGTAATGCTTCCTTAATTATGCATGTTCAGGTGAACATTTTACCTGACAATTTACACAATATTGAATGTAAATTCTGCTTGGTTTTTGTTATAAGATGTCTGCCATATTCATTGATAAAGATTGACATATCTCATGTTCTCAGTGGAGGTGATGAAACATCAAAATACATTTTGTTAACAATCATCCTTCATTTTAGAAATCATAGCATAAATTTTCAAAAATAAATTTGCATTCCATTTTTGATGATCATTTTATTAAGATAAAATGCAAAAGTGAGAGCATTTCTATTTTGACCATTACAAAAAGTTGAAATTTAGAAAATTTGCAAGATCAAAATGCTGTATGGATTTGTTGTGATGTGAATCACACCTTTTACCTCTCTGTGTGCAGTGTATCTTTACATAAACATTTCATATCAAATATATCTCAGATCAAAACTTTATCAGAAATTAAAAAAACTTGCTGAGATTACAATTATGATATGTTTCGCTGTTAAAACATTGCTTTTTTTTTTAATTTCCTTAAATTCTGCTTCAGTATTGAATTATGAAGGTTTTTTAATCTCTCTCAACATGAGATATGTCCATCTTTATATTTAATAACTTGTATTTCAAGCATTTTTCCTTTGTTTTTTTATAGTTTGTTTTTAATGCTATACAGGGTTACAGTCTGAGTATTAAAAATCAGCCTAAATAAAGAGGTCAGGAGGTCAGAGTGTAATTGTAGACTAATTGTTAGGGTATTTCGTGCTCAGTTATTAAGTTTTTTTATTACAAAATTCTACAACACCATGATAACAGAATGAAACATTACCATTAATGATCAACATTCAAACTTCAAATTTGAAACTAAAAACAAACAACAATTACTTGTTTCAGATGTTAAATATAATATTTCTAGAATTTCCTTTGTTTAGAATTTGATATATCAGCTTTAGTTTGACTAAGAAGATAGGGATTATTTTGCAGTCATTAAGGAGATTTGAGTAGCCTGGCTGACCCTGTGTAGTATTACTGACTTACTATGATACAATTATCTGTTATAAAGGTCACCTGTATATACAATTATATGTCTATAAGTAGTATATTGTTTCACCTGTATATACAATTATTATTGTAATACACAGTTATACTATGTCTATAAAGGTCACTTGTATATACAATTATCTGTCTATAAAGGTCACCTGTATATACAATTATCTGTCTATAATGGTCACCTGTATATACAATCACCTGTATATACAATTATCTGTCTATAAAGGTCACCTGTATATACAATTATATGTCTATAAAGGTCACCTGTATATACAATTATCTGTCTATAAAGGTCACCTGTATATACAATTATCTGTCTATAAAGGTCACCTGTATATACAATTATATGTCTATAAAGGTCACCTGTATATACAATTATATGTCTATAAAGGTCACCTGTATATACAATTATCTGTCTATAAAGGTCACTTGTATATACAATTATCTGTCTATAAAGGTCACCTGTATATACAATTATCTGTCTATAAAGGTCACCTGTATATACAATTATATGTCTATAAAGGTCACCTGTATATACAATTATATGTCTATAAAGGTCACTTGTATATACAATTATCTGTCTATAATGGTCACCTGTATATACAATAATATGTTTGTGAAAACAATGTTATAAAACAATACCTGTATATAAAGACCAACAACGATTATCAGACCATAGTTGTCACCTCTGCATAGCAAACGCTTTTTATAAAAGGTCCTCGGTATATAACAAATACCTGACTATAAAGTTCACTGGTATACACGTGTGGGCAAAGGTCATTTGTACAAATGTGTATAACAAATGTTTGTTCGTAAAAGGAATTCCTTTTTTTAAGTTGCTTGTACAAATAATGTGTATGAAAATACTCTTTCTCACTCTAGATTTAGTGTGACATACGGATTGGTTTGTGGAATGGAACCGTGATCGTTAATTCGGTAAAGCTTTCAGATGAAGTTTTGAGATGTATGGTTCGAAGTTTCCTACGCATGGCAGTTTGCTTTTCTCAAGTTGCTGAAAAACGGACCGGTCTTTGCTGATTGTACTGACTGATAATTTTAACTCCAATTCACAAACTGAAATTGAAACAAATTTGCGGAACTACAGAAACGCTAGAAATATATCAGTTTGCTCAACAGATCTTACTTTTTCCATAAGTATTTCACTGGCTGGAATGCTAATTAGTGTGTAACTTTGTAAATGCAATAATTTAACATTCTGATATCCCAGAGTTACTTCCCTTTATTTCACTCTTTCAGTACCGCTGGACAGCCGATCGGGAACGAGGATGTCAATTGCTAGTCCATGTGTACATTTTGCTTTCTCACTTCTCTTCATTTACACGAAGATAACTTCCTTTCATCAGCCAATCAAACAGTAACAAGCAAACATCTTTCTTTGTTACAGTGATTTCCATTGGTGGTTTATTCGTCAACGTAATGAATTCTATTTAACTGTATCACCTCTGTTCAGTTTACATAGTCAACCAAAAGTGGCGTAAAACGCTTTTGTTATTTCACTATTATGAAACAATAACAAAATTTTGAAAAATAAAAACACTTGGTTGAATAAAGAAAAAAAATATTAAAAGTTTTGATGCTACCGCAAATTTTTTAAACTTACAACTTAACACTGTTTCAATATTTTTTAATGATCCATGGGCCTCGTCGGAAATTTCCAAATCAAAGACATAGGTTGTACACAGTACCTGTGTTGTGGGTTTTAATTACCTCCTTACTTTTAATTCTATAGCAATAACACGAGCTTTATATTGACGTAAACAGGACCTGTTTGCGTGTAACTGTACCCTTTCTCAGGTAGTGCTAAATGTACTCAACGTGAAATTACGCAACAATATAAAAAGGTTTCTTTTTTGTCGTTTACCTGAACATTTCTGTGTTCAATGTATTATTTTCTTATGTGTTCCCAATCGTGCGTGCGTGCATGTGCGGGTGCGTGCGTATGTATGTATATTGACCTCTTCTGATTATGATACGTTAATTTGGAACTCTTCAATGATTGAAGGAAATGAAAAGACAGAAGTTGAAAAGGTGAGTGCACGAGCCCAATCAGATCACATAAGAGATACAGGTAAATCATGCACGTACTTTTCTTGACTTTTTACCTTTAATCTATCTCGTACTTCAATCGTCGTTTTGGGTATTTAAATATTTTCTGACAAATCTCGACTATAGAAATGACGAGATATTTCAGAAGTACTGGTGTGAGGTTATCTAACTGAAATGTGTAGGATTCCGTCTTTTCGTAATGCAGAGTTATCTACTCATGGGAGCAAGTATTGATTGTTACGTCATTAGTTTGCGTGAAAAAATTACGTCGTTTTCTCATGACGTTACTCTCACACAAACAAATTACGTAAAATTTAGTTCCTGCTCACAAGAGCAGATTATTCTTTATTACGGAAAGACACAATGAAGGGAATGTGTTCCGAAAAATCATTTCTAAAAATAACATATTTCCCTCCACAAACTAACGCTTCCGCAAGCAGACTTACCAATACAATGTTGTTCACTCTTTCTCTATATCATGGGATGGGCTTATTACAGGATATCTGAATAACAATTGCTTGTAAGTTTCTTAAACACTAAAATACGTGGGTGGGCGTATTATTAAGCCTGGGCTTATCACATCAATACGGCAGTCCTTCAAACAGTTCGTCATATAAAAAATGTATACCCAACTGTTTCCGTATTTTTTTTTATATTTTGAGCGAAAGTGATTACCCTAACCCGCAATCCCCCCAAAATAACTTCTTAAACAGAAGCATCTTAGATTGAACTAAAAAGATGTTTGAAAAAAAGGAATACAGTTTGTAGCCAGGGTGATTGTCATAAACCTACTGTGATCTATTTTGAATCATGCGACAAAACTTTAAAACAATATTGACACAATCATACAATGACGTCATCATGACATCATAATGAACCAGTAACGCAGAAATCGATATCTAATATCTTTATCGTCATTCGATTCAATTGAAGGGAAAAAGCTTAATTAGGAATGAATGTTAGTAACAAGAAAGCTCACGTGGTATGACGTCAGACAAGCAATATTTACCGTTCTCAGCTTCACAAGGAGTAAACATATTTCTTCAGTAAATGTTGTCTCTGAATTTCTCATAAATGATGGATATTTCCATAAGGTTCACATGTAAATTTATACATTCAATCTATTCACATATTCACAATGCTTATTAGTACATAGATTTTATGACAGAGTTGCCTTGATTCTCCGTTGTCACGACTGGGTTGTATTTTACAATGGCTAAATTTGTTGTATCCGGCACATCTTAGCTGATTCGGTAACTGTCGGTGAAAAAATTCAAAACATCTCATTGAAACATTTTAATAATCTACTGAATCCATGATTGAGGATTGTTGGATATTCCTCGAGTTGTTGCGACACCAATCAAGTGTATCGAATTCAGCACAGGGTAGCCGAATGCCAACTAACGATTTTAAGTCGAAACTGACTAAAAGCGAGCAAAACACAGTATCAAGTTGATTTTGGATGTTCCATGTGCGTAAACGTGTAAAATTCTTGATAAATTCTAAAAATATATCAAGTCCCGATTACTATGTCTGTGTCGTCAAGTGTCTGATACTTTTGTGCGTTGTATAATATGACGTCAGACTCAGAAACGTCGTCCTCGTGGTTGACTCTACTTCCGCCTTGCGGATCCGGAAGTTCGTAAATAAGTCTATCCCAAACAGCTCTTGACCTAGCTGTGATGTATTCTCCTTTCCGGAGCATCTGGTTCATTTCCGGTAGAAGTGAACCGTTATCGATGTCTCCAAATATTACAAGGATCACTCGGAACTTTTTATTCTCCTTAGAATAACTCCATGCCTTTCGGAAGCAATCTGCTGCCCAGTTACTGTTCATGAAGCTGTAACTGACCACAAACACCGCACACTTGCAATCATATGGTTGTTGGCTATCATTGTCCGCCACGTGCACGCTTTGAAGTAGCTGCACGCGGTCAGGGAAAACAAACTTGTAGTTCCGCTTCCTTCCAAGCTTTTGCATGAACATGAGTCTCACCCACTCATTACATTTAGAATCGTTTGTATTGTAGACGATGAAGGCATCGCTTTGTTTGGAGTCGTCAGCTTCCGGTCTCAAGCACCCGAAGTGCAGCTTCGTATATAACACTGCTAACAAATCTCGTTTGTAATAAAACATGGCGGCTCCCAACACCACTAATATAACTACTGTTACTATGGCAGCAATAATTACAGATGATCTTCCCCCACCGGAAGTGCTCTCCAAACCCAAACATTTAAACTGTTCTTGAGAAACTAACTTCATCTCGCGTCCATCGCCGTCACATCGAATATCTTTCTTGTCATGGACACGGTTGGAATACGCAGTCAGCCATTGCCGGAAGTTTGTATTTGAACAATCGCAGGAATACGGGTTTTTACCGAGTAAAACATAGAAAGCGTTTTGAAATCTTGATAGTTCTGTAGTAGACAGAGCGTCCATCGTTTGGAACTCGTTGTTTGTCAAATCAAGACTACGCAATTCGCTCAAACCTTTAAAAGTGTCGTGAACTAAAGTTGTAAGAAAATTATTTGATAAGTTTAAATATCGTAACTCACTCTGATATTGAAATGTTAATGGCAAAAGATCGGCAATTCTATTGTTAGACAAGTCTAAAATTTTCAACAATTTCAAATTTACAAATACATCTGTGGTTATCTCGCTCACTCCGCTGATATTTAGATAGAAGGTCTCCACCAGCAATGAATTCGTTCCACCAAACGTGGCGCTGAGGATATTAAATTTATTTCCGTCCATGAAAAGATCGACAGTCGACAGCGGTATGGTTGCCGGGGGTTGATCTAAACCCGAACATTGCATAGTCACTATCGGCCCGTATCTCTCGCGAGAAAAACACTCACAGTTTGTATCACATCCGGTTTCCACCCTACACAGGTAGTCTTCCTTTGAAACTTTCCGGAGGGAGACATTGTAGCCTTTTGGAAACACTTCACAAGTGTCAACATTGTAGTCATGTGTGTGAAGCGTGTTTCCTTCAACCGTGACGTACGGGTTAGCCAACCAATTCATAACGCACGTGCAGATTAGTGGGTTTCCAAGAAGGTTGAATTGAGTTCCGACTTTCGTTTCCAACGGCTCGATCTCTTGAACAAGATTGTTGGACAGGTCGATGCTTCCGAGGTTCCTGAGACCTTTAAAAGCATATTTAGAAATGTTTCTGATATTACAAGACGACAGTACGAGTGTTTGAAGCGTCGGACTCGACCTATTGGAAGCCTTATTTGTCATGTCAGTCACTGTATCGATAGGGTTATGGTCCAGTCGCAGTGTTTTGACCGTATCCAAAGTATTGAATGAAAACATGAAGTCAACACTGGTCAAGTTATTATAAGAAAGGTCAAGGTCAATCAGATTCTGTGCTCCTCGAAAAACATCCAAACTCAAATTCAAAAGGAGTTGGTTGCGCTTTAAATTCAACACTTCCAAATTGCTAAGTCCTTCAAAGGTCCCATCATCGATCACCGAGATTTGGTTTAGGCTCAGGTCGAGGTAGGTCAAAGATTCTAAAAACATCGTAGACATGCTGGTCAAAGTTACTATGTTATTGGCTCGAAGATCAAGCATCGAAACGTTTATATGGCCGAACGAATTTGGAAAGTTCAAAAGCTTGTTGTCACTGAGGTTAAAGGTCAATGTCATCTCGGGAAGCAACATGTCGTCAAAGTGCATGAGGTGGTTATCGGATAAATCTAGATATTTCAACAATCGAAGATTCTGGAAAACGTCTGCTGGAAGGTCCATTATGAGGTTAGAATTAAGCCGAAGACATGTCAAAGACACAAGCCCTCTAAACGCCTGGCTCGTAAGAGATTTCATGGAATTCTGGGATAGATCAAGTGTTTTAAGTTTTGCCATGGTTTCAAACATTCCATTTGGTAGACTTTGCAAAGAGTTCCCCAGTAACGACAGCTCGGTGAGATTTTCCAAATGACGGAAAACTAATGTCAGAGCGGAGGTGTTGAAAAGCTTATTTCCGGATAGATTCAATATTTGTAAAGAAGACGGTCCCTGAAATGCATGCTGGGAAATCATGGCGATTTCATTTTTAGCCAAATTCAAATCTGAAAGTTTAAAAAAATTTCCGAAAACGTCGTCATCGATAGATTGAATAAAATTTAGAGATAAGTTTAGATGTTCTGTCGACATCACTTTGTTGACAGCTCCAATGATTTTCCGGATCTGATTGGATGAGAAGTCCAGATATGTAACATTCGTACATTCCTGAAAATTTGTCATGTTTAGAATTTTGAAATGATTCTCGTAAAGTCTTAAATGTTTCAAAGAGTTGGCAAATTCACAAATTCCTTTTGGGAAGGAAACAAATTCGTTGCGCGACAGATCGAGGTATTCTAGACTTTTAGATGTCACAAATGTTCGAGGTGGAATATGAGACAATAAATTGCAACTTAGATTCAGTGATTTCAGATTTTGTAGATTTTTTAAAGAGTCAGTTGCAATAGATACAATCACACCTTCACTCAAATCAATATACGTGAGATTTGGGAAAGTCTGCCCACAATCAAATATGTACGCCGGAAATGACGTCAAACGGGTGTTCTCCAAAGACAGCACTTCCAGAGCTGGGACGTCACATAACAATCCGTCCGGAAGTGACTCCACAGGGTTCCGTCCCATGTCCAGATATCTGAGGCCGGTAACTCCCTTAAGGGATTCACCTTCGATCTTTGTTATTGAATTATCGGACAAATCAAGTGTCTCCAAGTAAGTCAGATCTCTAAACGTGTTGGCGGAAAGTTTTGTCACTTGGCAAAAGTAAAACTTATCATGTTGTCTTGATGACGTTGGATTGGCGGCGCTTGTGCCGTTCTTACAGATACACACGTGGCGATGATCTGCAAAATATTCCTGCTGCTGACACCTAACGGAGACATAGTGAATTACATCCGGGTCATATTTCCAGATGGCGCTGATTGATTTGTATGTGTAACTCCCCATACACTTAAGTATATCCGGGCTGGACGTGAACAAACAGTCTCCATAATTTGTCCAATTGTAACGATAAACATGTTCTCTGCCGTCATACCACGTGACCTCAAACTCTTTCGTAGCTCCAAGAATTACAACACCACAGAACGCTATGGTTAGCACCGCAAGAGTATGGAATGTTTCCATGGCGATGGTGTTATGACGTCATGTTATGGAGGCCTGAAAATATAGAGAAAAAAGTTAATTCTCGTTGATCTGTTTACCAGTTATTTATCTATTCAATTTTAATATGTCAACGATATTTTATGGAAATCACAGTTACCATTTTTTTTTCAATTTTGACGATTGACGCCTTTTCCAGAAGTTTGAAACTAGGATGTATTTTGGAGTAATTCTACGGTGTATCGTTCGTGATTTCGGTCGAAAAGAGCAAGGAAAACATCGAAATGACACCATACAATATAAAAGTAAGTATGTAGATTCTTTATACAGGAAGTCAGGAAAGTGTGACGTGTAGGGATGAAGGGAACATTCCTTGAACCTTACAGTTCGAATCCAGGCACTCGTAATCAGTAATATACACAGTATGAAGTACATGATTACCATCTTATATAATTCATATAGTCGTTGGTGTTAAAATGACGATATCTAGACGTATTAGTATCTGAGAAATACATTTCAGAAAAGATATCATTTTTTTTTTTTTTTTTTTTACATTTTTTGTTTCACGTGATCGAATTGTTAAAATAATGCGTTTTAGTTTTCCCTGAAATCACGATCATTTGTTGTGTGTTGATAAATAGCCCTAATAATAACAGATTCAGTTGTCAGTGTACAAAACATCGTATCATACTCATAATTTAAATTAAACTTCAGAAAATAAACTTTCTGTCTCATTAAACTGGATACGACTTCAAATGAAAATAGAACATTTAAATGTCTAATGTTGTTTTGTAAAGAAGAAAGTAGTATTCAATGGACCTGCAATGATTTGTTCTCGGCCAAAAAGTATTGTCCGGATTAAGAGTTTTACAGACTGCTGTGTCTATTTAAAAAAAACCGATAGAAAAAAATAGATAAATAAATAAAAATAAAGTTCTGTTTAATTTCAACTATATCCTATTTCAATAATTTTGTGTATATATATATATATATGTAATTGATTTGTATTTGATCAATGAAGTTATAATGACAGTACGGACAGGTATATTGTGAATTTTTTAGGCAACCTGCCCTTTATCAAGACACAAAATATTACATGATTTACATCACATACATAGAACATAAAACAAATACAATCTATGATTGAGAACGGTCTTGTCAGATTACGTGTCTTGATAATCCCGTCGGCAATGGACGCCTAAGGGCTGTTATAGGCAGCCAAAAACGGTCTTAAGCTGTTGTTTCAATGGTGATTCAAGTATAAAAAATCACAAAGACAAATGTATATATGTCTGTACGCTGTGTGTGATCGCACAGAAAATGTTTGTTACACTCCGAGAAAGGGGGCTTATCTGTATAGCTCGTTGCCACTCTAAATCAGGAATTGTTTACTAAAATAAATTGACTTGTGTATATATATGATTTAAGACATTTGGAATGATATTTTGTGATGTTACACTAGTGTCATTTTATGGAGAACACATACAACATCACTTATTATTTGACAAGATATCTAACAGAATATATTGGAGAATTTTCTTACCTTTTGACAATAAAGAGTCCCTATGATGGTTTCAGGACTCGTCGCCTTGAACCCCTGTCACAAAAAAGTCTTGTTTGATTTATTCCTGTAAATAAACAAAACAAAAACTTATTGCCTTGTAGATGTTGGAATGTCGAAATCTTTTTATCAATCTCAGATATATCTGTTACTCTAATTCATATTTATCGAGATTTAAAATATTCATAGTATTAATTCTATACCACTTTTCTCATGGGACCCGATAACACAATCGGCTAGAGCCTTGGACTATGCTACCCAACCCCCCGGGCCTTATGAGTCGGACAAGGAAAGGGGGGGGAGAGGAAAAGCCCCGGACTACGTAACCTCAGGTGAAAATCCAAGGTACGTGGTTCCACGCTCCTTTCCCTGGTGGTTCGTGTTTCTCGGGAAACTGAGGAACAGATCGGTCTGTGCCAACGTGGCTATGCTATTGACCAAGACACTTTACCATAATTGCTTTTGGTGACATGCGACGGACCTCCAGTATGTTGTTCAATGAGGAAGTTACTTGCTAGTACAATGACAGTCCGCCTGATATGACGCTGGTTGTTCATGAGGCGATAACCTCAACAAAACAAATATCTTTGCGATCTATGTATCGCCTTCATTGAAAGACATATTTATGTTTCAATCACCAAGTCAGTCTTGGTTATAGAAATAGTAAAATATTGATAAGGACGAATAATTAAAACCAAATAAAACGTTACGATAACTTAACAGGTGAGAATTTTGTGGTTAAGGATATGAATACATTACCATATGTATTGAGATTCATGTTCAAAAGTTTAACATTTGTTTTGCTCAGTAATCATATCAATATAGATAGGTAATACATACCATATCGTTTGTCGTGAAAATATTTTGCAACCTCAAGCATGTGAAACAATATTTTCTTAATTTCCAGGTGGGTCGTCCATGTTTTGAAGAACTTTTCACAGGGATAGTATTGAATTAATAACCACATCTTGCTTGTTAGGTTTGAGGTGTAGCGATATTTCCTATCGCGATCCGCCTTCAAGCTCGCAATAATGGCTCTTTCAAATAAAAAAATATTACCAACTACCTGAAGTGGTTTTCTCATAGAAAAGAGTTTGTTAGTGGGATTTAAATATCCTTAAGCTTTACTGAGTATCAATCATCATTGTGTCAGGAGTGTCGTGATGTCACATCAGGTTTTACCGGTAACACAACTACCGATCACGTTCAGGTTCCTATTATTACACAGGGCTTACGGCCCATACCACAGGACACATATCTATACACACACAAACATGAACATACAGACATGGAGAGTGATCACCACAAGTTAATTATATTCATTTATGATTTCTACGGATAGAATGTGATTAGAGGGTGCAAGCTTACAATAAATTATAAGTTCTTTTTTCATTTTTTTTAAATTTATTTTATCATTTTTTAAGCCAAACGTACAAATTTATCCATTTTATTTAATTCCCTTACAATGTTGTCATTTGATAATTGAACAAGTCAATCATCACTAAGCAATCACATCCTACTAGTATGAAAAAAAACTTAAAACAGATAAAAAAAATATGAGATTGTCATCTATATTGATAGGGTTTTGATAAAATAGATTTTGTGTGTTGATTTATAAAGGCAAAAAAACTAATCAGATGAAGTTCATGCTGTTATATCTAACAACTCTGTAATGTTATGTAATATCTGCACTTGTCTGGGTCACGAATACGCTTTAGTTAAATTAGTTTGTCTGTTACGTGGATTAATCCTTGATCGTTGTCTTTTATCTACATGTAATTATGCTTATCTTTAATCACTTCCTCTTGAAGGCTACACAATGCAGTTTTAGTGGCATATTGAGTGACGAGCTCAACGCATGTCCTGGGATATTGATTGGCGAATGCATTATTTTCAATGGTTTTATGCATGGAATTTTCAAGTTGTAGAAGTGTTAGGTTGGTGGGCCAGGCAAGCTCTACGTTGAGTAGCGACCGGGACACCTCGGACTTTTACAATATTAAAATATATTTCGCAGTAAATTCCCGAAATGTACCGAATGTGTGTTGCACAATCTTCCCTATCCCAAAAGTTTGCTAATTAAATAGTCCCAATCACATAATTTCAAATGATTTTGCTAAAGAACGTCAAATTCATGTGTAGACTTTCAAAAGTGCAACCATTAGACAAGTCATGTAGATTACGTGAAACCTATGTGTATAATGCCTACCAGCAGATCCACCAGTACAAGGTCTGGTAAGTTGGAAAAAGAAAACATACACGTGATGTCATCGCCCACGTCATTACATATGTTCCGTGGCTAGAGAACTTACAATAAACCATGTGTGGGTCTCAGACTCGTGTAAGTTATGTCTTCAGCTTACAGATGTGCTAGCGTATACATCAGGCCTGTGGCACGGGGCGCTGCCGATGTTTATACGCGTCCTCCTGACTCACATAGTTACATCCTACCTCTTGTACGTGTAGGCTATATTAACAGTGGTCTCTGTTACTTATATACAAAGATATATACGTTTTAGAATATATACCAATACTTTGCATTATATATTTATTTCGATAAGTGAAATAATATTTTGTTATAATTTCTGTCTCTTTCATTTTTCTGACTTATATTGGTAATTAAATAGTCGGCAATGTCGGAGCTACATAATGTATAGGTTTGCTGTTGAAGAGGAACACCTAACCATCTTCCTGTTTCTACTGGTAAATGTATACCAGTTGTTTAACACGGGTCAGTACTCGCACAGTTAGATCATTGTTGACACCAGAATTCCGTGTCCCGCGTCAAACAACACCACTCTGCTAATACACCTATGATGATAACTAATTAGAGATGGTTTTACATCAGTTAAAATATTGTTATGAAATGCTCTGAATACTCTTAATTGTTTTAGTAATATGTCAATGTTTGATAATGAATAAGATATTGTTTCAGCTAAACTGTTGACTGTATCATGTTTTTGATAAGATTGATATGAAATATATTTCAACTTACGATGACAACCTATCTGTACTCGTACCAGCAATATCATCATCAAACAACTAGCTGATGAGTAGCTGTACATAGATAAACAGCTATTTATCATATATATGCATATCTATTATGTTGATTTCAGCGTTATGCTTGTCAATCAAATTGGCTTTGAAACAATTTATCGAAGTCAACAACAAAAAGTTTTTACGTCCAGCGTACGAAGTATGAATTCATCACAACCACAGACGTATGTAACACAATGGTTTGTACGTCTCTGTCACAAAGGATTCAGTCGTATCAACAAACAAAACATTAAACAATATTTCCGGAGAAATTATTTGTATCGGTGACAAATAAGGAGATATTTTTTCTGTTGTATACAGGTGTAGACGGAGTATATTAGTGTGTATGTCTGTGATCTCTGTTATAATTGATATCGGGGTTGTAGTCTTCTAATATTTCACAACTTACGAACTCGTGTTATATCTTATCAATAAAGACATGTTTATCTCTCGAATTCATCAGATGTGTATATGTAAATAAATGTCTGTTATATACATACTTGATGTCCATGTATATAAACGATGCACGTGTTTATATCTCTGTGACGTAAATTTACAGTGTACAACTGTTTAATTTGAAACATTGTGAAGAAGACTATACATCGTTTACATATTCATCCCGAATATAATTAAAGTTTCTACAGTGTCAAATCAAAGACGGAGACTTACCTCTACACCTTTATGTCTAGTCTAGGTATCACACATATACAGTAGATACATAAACGTACTGGTCACGTCACACAAGGTACGCACATACTATAAATATCACACATAAACTCACCTGTATGTCGATAACAGGTAAGAGATGACCATACCAGACTACAGTATGTTTATATATAAGTTTCGTCCCTGTTAATTAAAGCTGATAAGGTGCAAATTTGACCACTTACCTGTAAAGTTAGTTCCACGTTGTAATATCGCCTTCCTGCATTTGACCTTGACCAGGTGTAAATACTTGCCACGAGGCGGCTAGACTGGCCAAAGGGCATTTGGTCTGACCATCGCCTTAAGTATCTTTAACAGTAAATGAAATAGCAAAATCAACGAACCGTGTCCACACCGTGGTCGGCGAAGCGTTTGACTTTGAGATGTTTCGGTGTCTCCTTCAAAATTCACCTGATTTTTACACAGGTGAGTTAACAATGCCTTACCTGTCACACATACTCAGACAGGTAAGGAAACGGCAGGTAAATTACGGACAGGTAGGTTAAAGAGAGAGCTTTAAAGAATGTAGACTGCACGTAAGACTCGACTGAATTTATAAAAAGGATTGTACTAAATATATACAAATGAATTATTATCTGTTGTGATATCAGAATGATTGTGCTATTAAATATTGTATCTCAATAAACATATATTTTGTTGGGGAAATAGTCAAAGCGTATTAAACTCCCTGTGTCCCGTGTCCCACGTTCCTGTGTCCTATATCCCTGTGTCCTGTGTCCCTATGTCCCTGTGTTCCGTGTCCCTATGTCCCGTGCCTTGTGCCCCGTGTCCCTGTGTCCTATGTCCCTGTGCCCCATGTCATGTGTACTTTGTCCCTGTGTCCCGTGCCTCGTGTCCCTGTGTCCCTGTGTTCCGTGCCCCTATGTCCCGTGTCCCTGTGTCCCTGTGCCCCGTGTCCAGTGTACTGCGTCCCCGTGCCCCGTGTCCCGTGTCCTGTGTCCCGTGCCCTGTGTCCCTGTGTCTCTGTGTCCTATGTCCCTGTGTCCAGTGTCCTTGTGTCCCTTGTCCTGTGTTCCGTGTCCCCATGTCCCTGTGTCTCGGTGTCCCTGTTTCCCTGTATTCCGTGTCCCTGTGTCTCCGTGTCCCTGTGTCCCCATGTCCCTGTGTTCCGTGTCCCTGTGTCCCAGTATTCCGTGTCCCTGTGTCTCCATGTCCCTATGTCCCAGTGTCCCTGTATTCCATGTCCCTATGTCCCAGTATTCCGTGTCCCTGTGTCCCCATGTCCCTATGTCCCCATGTTCCAGTGTCCCTGTGTCCCCGTGTCCCTGTGTCCTTGTGATTAGCACATTTTTCAATACAGAAGTGATGCTGTGTAATACCAAATGATTATTTTGGGGGGGTTACATAGAAAAGTCAAATTTTCCCGAAATTATTGTGAAGTTAAAGATCGGAAGCTGTTTCATCACACTGGAAGTCTTCTTACGGAAAGCAACTTGGAGTTAAAGTAGGCGAATGATATATGGATCCTTCATTGATGAAATACAAATATGAAAATCGAATTTTGCAAACCCAAAGCAATGTTACAGCATATTTCTTGTTTGATAGGAGTATCGCTGCTGACAAATACCAGGGACACTGCAAATACGTTATCGTATGTACTTGTAACCTTTACATAGTCCGAAATAAACATTTAATAATTCACGTGATTTTTATTGTTCGCAATACTTATTCATGTTACCGTATTCACATACATAAGAACAATCTTTCAGGCGTGCAGATATTTTAGTGTAGGAGAATCGTTTATCTAGGATTACTGGGTTAGTGTGTCACGTATACTGATACACAAAATTTATACACAAACAGTTTTAAAATCAACAACACCCAGCCATATTTGGCGTAATGGACACGATCACATGTAACATTTTCTTATGAAAATTGATCTAGAGGACGTTTGATTGCTGACTTCTTTGACACATATAAAACATTGTTTTGACAATATCTTTGTCTACCGAAAGTACAAATATATCCACTTTATTAGACCATACTTCATAGGAAATAGTACATGATAATGATAGAAAACGAGAATTATTGAACTCCCTATTAGCTTTGTATCTCACCAATCAGAAAATGACTTGGATAAGGATTTACCAATTTGTTGACAGTCCTACCAATTAGGTTTTTTTTAATCAGGAAGAGAAATATATCATTGTAGTATAGTAGATATTATATATATGTACGTGTACTTTGTATATATTGAAATCAGACCCTGACGATATTAACCACACAATATTCACACTAGCCTCCACTCGAAGTTTTTGTTCCACTATCTCAGTTATTCCCTATCTTCCTGTGTGTACCCGTAACATGGAAAAACGCTCAGGTGATGCCTAATAATGATCCAATTTTACACCCCGCTATAGACCAATATCGCTGTTAGACTGTGTAGACAAACTGTTTGAGCGTGTGATATATAAAAAAACATTTACAACTTCTTCATTGGAAACGATTTCACTTACAAATATCAATAAGGATTTTTACCAAACCACTAAACAACGCATCAGCTTATTGAATTACATCACTCAATACTTACTTCTTCAGAAGAAGAAGATTTTGAGTATTCTCTTTTGATATTTTGTTGTTTTTTCTAAGGCTTGGCATAAAGGTCTTCAGTGAATAACTAGTTATTTGTCTTACGGAAAACATGCAGTTTTATTAGGTACGCCGTATCTTGATTTATAGCTTTAAACGCAGGTGTTCCTCAAGGCTCTGTTCTCGGGCGTTTTTTCCTAATGTATATTAAGGACATCCCGTGTAATCTCGCTTCTCTATCCAACTTTCGCAAACTTCATGCTCTCCTTCTACAGTGGGACTTTGGAATGATTTAGGTAACAGTATTAGGAAGCCCTTTTCTTAAAAAATATTTCAAGGCTACATCTCGGGGGAAGTTTATTAAGCTACCAAGCGTCTTGTTTGAGAACTTAATAATCTTCCACCTCGGTCCCCCTTACCCCATACTTGATGAAACATTATATTATCCATACACTGACACCGGCATTTCCGGCTACGTCCCTCCCAACAGCTCTAGAACTGCCAAATGTCATCTGCAATGGACGGTCGCGCCTTCTCATCAGCTCTAGAAATGACGAATTTCGCCGGCATTGGCCAGTCAGGTCACGCCCTTCTCATCGGCTGTGAAACTGCAGAACCTCACCGACGATGGCCGGTCACGCCTTTTTCTGCAGCTATCAAAACTGCCGAACTTCACCGACGATGGATGGTCACGCCTTTTTCAGCAGCTATAAAAACTGCCGAACTTCACCGACGATGGCCGGTCACGTCTTTTACAGCAGCTATAAAAACTGCCGAACTTCACGCCTTCCTCAGCGGCTTAGTAGGATGGGTTTTGGTCTTCCCATACAGAACAATTCGAACAAAATCCGAGAGAGGTAATACAGCTCACGCTAGCATTGGAGTGGAAATATGTACCCTTTTATGTTGTATTCAGTTCAATTATTTCCACGTTAAACTAATAATGTAAAAAATAAAACTCTTACAATATGATTTTTTTTAAATAATTAAAAAAAGATAAAATGATGAAGAATTTATTGATATTTACAAAATACACAAATAATACCTGAATTCTGGCGATATCATTATACGCTACATCTCTGAAAGACGTTGACCTAAAATAAAACGAATTATGATTGATTCACATTGAGTATATAACTTGTCAGTACCAGAATAATAACACAATTATTGGATAAATTTGAGAGCAGCATTGAAAACAACCGATAATACTTTAAACCAAACATTGACGTTAAAATATTTAATAAAAAATAATAATATATCTATGATTTTGACATTAGCAATGCGAGGTTCTCAAAGTTAGCGCTGCGAGAGATTTGACATGACTTTCATGTAAGACAAATGACCTTGGCACGCGACAGCCTTAATGTAAGACAGAAATAGGATAATCGATGACCTTGACATGTGGTCAGTGCACCTGTATCTCACCTTAGCCAAGGTCACCCTTACACACACAGAATGTACAGTCGTTGGGATCCACTAGATATTTCCCATCGCACTGGGCATTACATATGTGGGTAGCTAATGCGCAGTCGCGAGACGCAGTTGTGGTGTTTTCGGCGGAAGTTGGCGGCTGTGTTGTTGAAAGTGTTGTAGTCGGTACTTGAGAAGTCGTTGAATTGGCTGAAATCATTACAAGATATGATAAGAAAATGGCGAACTTGTATATTACAATTCACAGATATTTTGTTATAATGCACTAAACTTAGAATTGACCATTAAACACGTTGACACGGTCTAGAACCCTTCGCCCCGCCCCCTCCTTGACATACACAACTATCACTGACATAAGTTCCATGTCACATGAGGTTGTGCAATGGCCTAAAACATATGTCCAAGAAAAAAAGGAACAAACCGCACAATACCATACCCTGTCACAAATCTCTTCGTTTATTTGATATAAAAATAGTTTGAAAAAATAGGAAACATTTAATAAATGTGATTAAGAGATTGATGTTGTCAATGTTACATCCGTTGTTTGTAGATTTCAATTTGGTTTAAATACCTTCGATGGTTGTAGGACTTTTCGTTTGATGGGCGTGGTCACACATACAGAACTCGCATCCGGTTCCGCCTTTCAAGTATACGTCACATGGCAGTGTGCAATGTGCCTGGGTTGGTATACACGGATTGTGTATATAATGGTGTATTGTCTGTTGGGCAGGATCTAAAAATATCACACCTTGAATGCCATCATAAAATAATACTTGATTTTTCTCTAAAAGTTAATCGTTCGGATACATATAGATCAGCAATACCGGTCTTTTGGTCAGGAAGTTGAACTTTGACTGGGAAGTCACTCGCAGCAATTAAAACGCGCGATAAGTAGTTCACAACATTGCTTTCGAAATCATTTTATTTTCCTACAGATTTCCACAAAGTGCTATGAAGACAAAATTTAGTACCTGTTGTGATACGTAATGAATGCTATGATTTTTACATATTCCTGAAATTGTCAGTTTTGCATATTAATTAGCGATATTTCACTACAGGTAATATCATTACGCACCAAATGACGTCACAAGTCAATTTATCTTCGCAATAGACTTTTTTCTAAATTTTTATATAACAGGTCACACGAACTCGTGGTATTTCTTTCATTCTCGTTTGTAATTTTCCAATACTACATAAAAAATGATCGACCAATGCTCGCGGTTTTGTAACGTCTGAAAAAAGATCTCAATAAGCACCATACATAATAGATAAAACTAGTTGTGAAATATCTATTACTTCTGTACATGTTTCGGAGCTATTCTGTTTCCCTAGAACCATGTCGTCTCTTATCAGTTTTTATATTATATTGTTCCTTTTTAAGGTTCCTCCTATCATCTTGTGCCATTGATAGCGAAATTTGCTACAAATTTGCATATTTCTCGCCTCTTTCATCAATTTATTCAGTTCTGCCAAACTGTTATTTCGTATGCCCTGTTTCGACAAAATGAGAAAGATTAAAATGCGAGGAAAATGATGAAAAATGTGTGTTTTCCCCGTGTTATAATGAACTTACCTGTAGCCGTTGACGATTCAGCACAATGACATAGTAGACATCCATGAGTGTCCTTGGCGAATCCATTTGGACATAAAATAGGGGAGATAGGACAGTAGTGATGAAGACTGACACATCCCGAGGAATCCGAATGGAAACCTCCTGGTCCAAATTGGCCTCCTTGAAACCCGTCCATGAAGAAACCCTCCGCAACTGTATTAAACAGAAGCATTAGATAAAAGTTCAATTTACGAAAACATCAGAAAATAAATTGACACCTACGGATTTAAGACTCTTTAAATGGAGCAGGACAACGTGTCTCATGTATAATGTTAAATATGGCTTCTGTCACGGAGTGACAAGGTGCTTCTAGGACGGAGTTGGTGGAGCCGTTGGTTATCACGACAGAGATTCGGGTTTGATTCTGGTTGCAATGGAAATAAAGAGATTGTCAGGAGTCTTTCTGGGCACAGCATTTCATGAAGCGCAAAATGAAAAAGTGTATGACGTCATCACCTTATTGGGCTACTGTACACGTTTCTAACACAAACATCTATACAGAACAGTAGACCTCGTTGATTGCACAAACGACACACAGGCGAATAGCACCTTTGATATATATTTAAAGTTGGGTACATTACAGCCGAACAATGAATTAAACTGCATTATACACATGTTTCGTCCTTCTAGGACTTGTCAGTAATGATACAATATACAGCTGTTTCGTCCTTCTAGGACTCGTCAGTGATGCTACATCATACAGCTTTTGCGTCCTTCCAGGACTCGCCAGTGATGCTACACCATACAGCTTTTTCGTCCTTCCAGGACTCGTCAGTGATATACATCATACAGATTTTGCGCCCTTCCAGGACCCGTCAGTGATGTTACATCATACAGCTGTTTCGTCCTTCTAGGACTTGTCAGTAATGATACAATATACAGCTGTTTCGTCCTTCCAGGACTCGTCAGTGATGTTACATCATACAGCTTTTTCGTCAGTGATATACATCATACAGACTCGTCAATGATTGTACATCATACAGCTGTTTCGTCCTTCCAGGACTCGTCAGTGATGTTACATCATACAGCTTTTTCGTCCTTCCAGGACTCGTCAGTGATTGTACATCATACAGCTGTTTCGTCCTTCCAGGACTCGTCAGTGATGTTACATCATACAGCTTTGTCGTCCTTCTAGGACTCGTCACTGATGCTACACCATACAGCTTTTCGTCCTTCTAGGACTCGTCACTGATGCTACACCATACAGCTTTTCGTCCTTCCAGGACTCGTCAGTGATGTTAAAGGCTCCCATTGTGCAGCCTAGAAGGCGACTGAATTAAAAAATCCAAAGCCATCGAAGGAAAAGTAAAAATCTGAATGGCGAGGTGCACTAACACCATAATAGTGAAAGAAAAACAAAACAATACCTGCTACAGGTGTTAACACCTTTCAGTCTCCTCACATATACTAATGTTAAATATGTAGGTTAATATATTTCGTGTAAGAAAAAAAAATAACATTCATATTAACATGACTGACACTTCTCACACAATTACGTAATTCCATTTATACAAAAACACGAATATTTGGTTTTCGTTTCTTTTCCATTTTTTGATAAATTATGTTAATGAAGTATTCCAAATAATGTTATCTAATCACACTGTATACAAGACAAATATAAACATTAGTATTTCCCTCATACACGTAAGTTCAAAGTATTCTCCATATAGCTATGCATTGCATCTTGATTTTTATTCTTGTAAATTTATCTAAATGAATAATTTCTTGTAATCACGAGGGTTGAAATTAGAATCCTTTTTCAAACATTAAGATATGTTTACTCCATCACACAAATTTTTATTAAAATGTGCCGTTTTCTTTTGTTTAGTGGTCAAATCTACATGCCGCTGTTAAAATCAAACTCTGTTTGACACAGAAAGTAGCTTTCCGCCTTTTTTCCATTTTTGTATTAACCGGGCAGTCACTTTCTGATCTAATGTTTTATTAGCTTATGCCTGGTGACGTAGATCGTTTCATAATGCTGCCGCATATTATAGAAAATTTTAAGATGGAGTTTCCAAAAGAGTTTTTAAGACGACACTGCTAAATATTTAATAGCAGTAAACTTGCCAAATATTTTCCAAATTCGACATTTGAAAACAATTACAGCCATCATAGGGTAAATGCATATGGAAAGTTAATGTTACGAGACGTTTTGCACAAGTTTCCTTTCCAGTGTTAGATAAGGCAAGAAAATGATAAGAAAACCAGATGTTCCGGAAGACTGAGCGGCCTCTGCTTCATCGACGACCTGTTAACCTTGATTAATCCAAATAAGTAATGTCGCGTTCGTAGATGAAAACAAAGTATACAAAAACGGAACCAACAGGCAAACTAACGAGCAACAAACACGTCCAGCTTCATATCGCACAAAGAAATGACATTGCTGGAGTAGAGTCTCGAGTTCACCTCTTAACAAAGACAACATCACTAAAACGTTCCAAACGTATCCTGGTTTACTGACGGGGACATTCATGTCTCTATTTCATCTAGTTTATTACTCAAGTTAGAATCAGTATGATATATCATTTTCTCTGTTAAATGTTTTAAATGTTTGTAGATATTCTCTACACTTCTGTATGAGTTTTGAAACCTCTTTTTCATGGTTACTACATTCAATACACATTTTATAGAATGAACTCAACAAATTTAAGAATTACTCCATATGATTTACGCCTTTTACAAAATTCGGACTTCCGTGAAAGTAAGCGCTAAGAGACAGCAGATGAAACGTTTAATTTTTCATCCGACACTAGATTAGTTAACCCAACTTTACCTTGGAGAAAAACCAACACAAAAACTATCGTCTGCTTCATGTCGAAATAAGACGCAGTGACGCTGATGTAACAAAAAATATTCTGAAACTCATATAATTTGAAATACGAAAGTGACGCTAGCAATATATACTGGTTCTAAAACACTAATGATACACACCCTTGACTTCTGTTATATGATTGCTGAATGATAACGACTAGACTGTGTAGACCAGTTGGTTGATTATATATTGATAATTATGACAGGTGTGCAACATCGTGCAGATGCTATCATATGTTATCTGCACCTGGACATGAGATGACCATGTCCGGAGTCCTACAGTGTTTCGAGTGTATTTGATATGATATGCCTGGATTTTCCGGTGACCCTACCAGAACTCAAACTCTGCATTGAATTGGAGGCTGACAACATTACAGTCACATCTACATGTATTCGTTTTACCCATTTTTCACGCCCTGCCATTTCATGGTCGAGAGCTTCGAGTGTTACTCGTCATTTTGTAATAATTTCGTGTCCACAGAACACTGTTTTGGTATGTAACTCTACAATTCAGGCCTGATATGGTGATGATGAATCCAAGTTTTTAGTGTTACGGCTATTAACTGACAGAACATGCATAAAACCCTTCACAAAATATGTTCTACCATTATTGGAGAACCTTGCCTGAGTCTAGTGGGAGTTTAAATAGATTAATCTTTAAGCAATGACACAAGAGAGTTCTACCATTATTGGAGAACCTTGCCTGAGTCTAGTGGGAGTTTAAATAGATTAATCTTTAAGCAATGACACAAGAGAGTTCTACCATTATTGGAGAACCTTGCCTGAGTCTAGTGGGTGTTTAAATAGATTAATCTTTAAGCAATGACACAAGAGAGTTCTACCATTATTGGAGAACCTTGCCTGAGTCTAGTGGGAGTTTAAATAGATTAATCTTTAAGCAATGACACAAGAGAGTTCTACCATTATTGGAGAACCTTGCCTGAGTCTAGTGGGAGTTTAAATAGATTAATCTTTAAGCAATGACACAAGAGAGTTCTACCATTATTGGAGAACCTTGCCTGAGTCTAGTGGGAGTTTAAATAGATTAATCTTTAAGCAATGACACAAGAGAGTTCTACCATTATTGGAGAACCTTGCCTGAGTCTAGTGTTTAAATAGATTAATCTTTAAGCAATGACACAAGAGAGTTCTACCATTATTGGAGAAGTTTAAATAGATTAATCTTTAAGCAATGACACAAGAGAGTTCTACCATTATTGGAGAACCTTGCCTGAGTCTAGTGGGTGTTTAAATAGATTAATCTTTAAGCAATGAGTTCTACCATTATTGGAGAACCTTGCCTGAGGTTTAAATAGATTAATCTTTAAGCAATGACACAAGAGAGTTCTGGAGAACCTTGCCATTAGTTTAAATAGATTAATCTTTAAGCAATGACACAAGAGAACCTTGCCTAGTGTTTAAATAGATTAATCTTTAAGTGACACAAGGAGTTTAAATAGATTAATCTTTAAGCAATGACACAAGAGAAGCAATAGATCTTTAAGCAAGAGAGAGTTCTACCATTATTGGAGAACCTTGCCTGAGTCTAGTGGGTGTTTAAATAGATTAATCTTTAAGCAATGACACAAGAGAGTTCTACCATTATTGGAGAACCTTGCCTGAGTCTAGTGGGTGTTTAAATAGATTAATCTTTAAGCAATGACACAAGAGAGTTCTACCATTATTGGAGAACCTTGCCTGAGTCTAGTGGGAGTTTAAATAGATTAATCTTTAAGCAATGACACAAGAGAGTTCTACCATTATTGGAGAACCTTGCCTGAGTCTAGTGGGAGTTTAAATAGATTAATCTTTAAGCAATGACACAAGAGAGTTCTACCATTATTGGAGAACCTTGCCTGAGTCTAGTGGGAGTTTAAATAGATTAATCCTAAAGCAATGACACAAGAGAGTTCTACCATTATTGGAGAACCTTGCCTGAGTCTAGTGGGAGTTTAAATAGATTAATCTTTAAGCAATGACACAAGAGAGTTCTACCATTATTGGAGAACCTTGCCTGACTCTAGTGGGAGTTTAAATAGATTAATCTTTAAGCAATGACACAAGAGAGTTCTACCATTATTGGAGAACCTTGCCTGAGTCTAGTGGGAGTTTAAATAGATTAATCTTTAAGCAATGACACAAGAGAGTTCTACCATTATCATTATTGGAGTGGGTGTTTAAATAGATTAATCTTTAAGCAATGACACAAGAGAGTTCTACCATTATTGGAGAACCTTGCCTGACTCTAGTGGGAGTTTAAATAGATTAATCTTTAAGCAATGACACAAGAGAGTTCTACCATTATTGGAGAACCTTGCCTGACTCTAGTGGGAGTTTAA